ATAGTGTTTTACTTAAGTGATAAAGCATTAACTATCCTCTTTGGGATTTTTTTTTTTTTGTAATACAATGGATAATATTGTTGTGTCATGAAAGGGATTCATTCAGACAAAAGAGAAGCAATGATATTAATTATCTTTGGTGTTACCTGTAACAGACCTGCTAGTAGAATGGTTTAAAAACAGAGAAGGATTAAGGTAGCTGAGAATGATAAGTTTGGAAGAAAGTGACTCTGCTTTGAATGATGGCTGTTTGCAGTATTGAACTAAAATTCTTGAGTTAAGCTGGCTATGCTAGATCGGCCTGTGTATTTTACTATGGTCAAGCCTGAAGTGATGACCATTTAAAGGCATTTTTATTCTAGATCTTTCCTACTGAGATTTGGGGTTGTAATGCACACTGAAATCTCAGAAAACAAATACATATAGGATCATGGGCCTTTTTGGCTCCTGATCTGCCAAGGAAAATAAAAAAACAAAAAGGCCCACCAAGATTTTTTAATACAGTTTACGGTTAGGCTGTTTTGTCCCTTTTACAAAATTTCCACTATCACCCAGATAGAATGTAACTCAGATATACTCAGATAGAATATAACTGTTTTCCTCTCCCTTTTTATACTATACAATGAAACTGATGGACTGCATAAAGTTATGTTTAAAGCTGTTAGCAAATCATTCTGAGGCCCTGAAGTTAACACTTTCCTGCCTGTGTCCTGGTAGAGTTGCAGCAGGGAGGTGACTCAGCTGCCATTTCATTTTTGGGTTTCTGACAAATGAGGTGTTTGCCAGTTATGTTAGTTGTTCATTGGTTGTTTTTCTTGGCCACTGTCCCCTGGGTACCGATATGAGACACTGTGTCTTGGCAATTTCTCTTGGGATTGCTGGACAGGTTTCCAATCAAGTGCAGGGTTCTGAACACAATGCATATTCTCCCTGCTCAGGCTCCCTGAGGCTGCATCTCTCAGAGAGAATGGGGGTGACCTTTAAAAATATGAGGAAATAAAAAAAAAAAAATTCTTGAGTTAATAAATTAATATTAAATGAGTCTTGTTGAGGCTGGAAGTAGGACTTTGTTGATCTTCCTACTTCCTTCATCGGGTTAAAGGTTTAGTGAGCATTATGGTAAGTTTCTGCCCTTTATTTCTGCCAGTGTTTCAGGTTTGGCACAGTCACATGGCAGAAGGTGCAAGTGAACCCACAAACTTTACAAAATCCAGTGTCCCTTTCATCATTCCTATCATCTTAAATTTTTATGATAATTTTATCTCAGAAAATAGACTTCCTGAACCAGACAGCATATTGCAACCTTTCTCTTCAGAGCTAAATAAATTTGAAGCATTTGAAAAAAGCATTAGGATTGTTTTACTGTGCAGTGCCCCTTGACTTCAGTTAAATATGTCCCAAAGACACTTGTCTCAGCATTAAACTCTGTGAACTCCACCAGATTGACTTTAACGCACAAGTTGTGTCAAAAATGGAAGTTAAAAATTCCTGTGGAGTCACTTTGTGCTTGTTTTCTTAATTTTTGCAGTGTGGCTCTGACCCCACAGCTCATATATTCCTCAAAAGCACTGAGGCAGAAGCACATGGGTGCTGATGCCAACCTTTCATTACAGATCTTGGCTTCTCTGCAGGTGAGCAGCTGATAGAAAATCTTCTCAAACAGACAGCGTAGGCAAAGAGGTCATTTAACTAAACCAGGTCCCTCATCAACCCAGAAGCATGAAATAGGAGAAAAGAAGAACTGAAGGAGATTTTGTGATTCTTACTTTTTTTTGTCTTTGCTTTTATGTTTTAATCACACATAATCACACATTTTAATCTGAGCTTGAAAAAATCTCCTCACTGATGCAAAGGTGTAATCATAGGCTTTTCTTCAGGCCCTCTTTGGAAGGGCTGTAAGGAGTTAAACTGTTTTGTTTTTTTTTTTTAAGCTGGTTTCTTTTGCTCTGTAATTGCTTGTTAAAACCTTGTTTTTCAGCTAGTGACCTTTGCATCAGTGATGTTACATGTGTAGCACTAACAAGAATTAATAAAGAAAACTTCTATTTTTAGAAGGAGAAAGTTGCCAAAATTCAGATAATTTAGACTTTTCATACATATTTTTAATAGAAATTATTAGTAGCTTTTCTTCTATGGAACATTCAACAAATTCAAAGTTTCTGCTTATAAAAGTGCTCTGATTGGATCTGTATTCAAATCTCATGCATTTGTATCAACATCAAAGATGATTTTTTCCAATTATGGGTATAGGAGTTGCACACCACAAAGCAATGAAAGAAAGAAGATACAGAGTTTTCTTTGCTTTGTCTTGTTCTGTTACTTTATCTGTAACAGAACAGGACAAAACAATGAAAAAACCCTAAATAATCTTCCAGTGAATGGTCTGTTTGAATACATAATCATTTTGTCCTTGCACTAGATTGTAGAAGTTATTACTGGCTATAAATATGGGGGGTTTTTTTGCATATTCATTCTTAATTACACTTTCTCTACTCAGTAGTTCCACTCATTCAAGCTCTTTGGATCAAGAATAAGCATGGCTTAGACCAGAAAACAAATGACATGTCAGAGTAAAAGTAAGAGCCTCCAAACAAGAGCAGGATGAGCACAGTCCTGACTGCCCTCAAAGTAGTCTCAAATAGGGCTTCTGTGGTGGTGCCATGATTGAGGATCCTCATCCTATTTGCTGTGTCTCCAAACCTGGCTGAAGTGGCAATGAAGAAAGACTGCTCGTGGAAAACCAGTCTTTTTTTGGTGGCTGAGGCCTGTATTTGCTCCTCTAGACCCATCACCTTCTGTCCTCAGCTTATTAGCTGGGTTCTGTCCCAAAAAAAACCCCAGGATTTAGCCATTAAGCAGATGTACAAAATCCTCTTTAATATTAAAGTGGGGATGCTAAGATAGAGGGTACCTTTCCACAGCAGTACATACTGAAATTGCATCCACTCACACTAGTGAGGCCAGCTGTATCTAACAGACTCATTCTTCTCACCTTCAGATTGCAACAGGCTGCATTTTATTAACCTTACCCAAGTTGTGTGTTTAACCTTTATCTTTTAAAGAAAGAGAGTATTATGAAATCATCACTAGGCCAAGATCTGAATAAGTCTTGGATATCTACCTGTTTTGTCTCTTACAACATAACCCTGAAACCTGTTGAATTACCAAGTCTGGTATGAAGTAGTACGTATCCTAAGTCTGTTACAGAATTCACAAAAAGTGCCCATCTGGGAAGAACAGAACAGAAACCCTTTCCATCTTGTCTTCCACTTTCTGTTCATAACATAATGTTTCTTCTTCCTTAAGAAACAAGAAACAGAAGAAAACCCCACTAAACACAAAACTCACAACAAACCCTTCGAACACAAGCGAAATAAAAATCTTATGGGGGGTTACTATGGCTGCCGCTATAAGCGAGCTGCCAGGAAAAGTTCTGTTTGTGTGTGGTGCAGCCTTCATGATGGTGGCTTTGTCTCAATTAGTTGTTTATTTAAGAGGAAAACATCTTTAGCTTTTGGTACTGTGGGCAAGTTGTCAATAAAAGCTGCTAAAGAATACGATGTGCAAATGTCCCAAAAAGGAGATAAAAACACTTACTGTCTTCTGCTATTTAAAGTGTTCCTGACTGTGAAACATATTTCTCTAAGGCCAATGAAATTAGAAAAATGTAAATGTTATACAAAAAGAGGATCAGACCCATAAACTGTCCATGTCAGCTCCTATTAGGACATTAATTAATGGAATTCAGTGAAGGACTGGCTGTTGCCCATGTGAAGTATTTGTTTATGCTTTTTTGTGAAATCTTGACCATCTGAAAGACAGAGGAGCACTAGAAAATACACTGCCAGCCCTGGACCAAACCCATCCAGATAATTAACATCAAAGCTTGGTATTTGCCTCATGCTTGATGACTTCAGGGCTTCTTAGGCAAGCCAGTGTTCAACTATAGAAGCAGCAAATAAGGGTTTGTTTACAAGCCAAGCTACTCATTTAATTAACTTACTTAGATCAATTTAGGTTGCCAGTCTGTACCACTGCAAGGTCTGTTGTAAGGCTCAGTCTTCTGAATTGGATATATGTCAGTCACGTTGAATGATAGCAGTAGTGGAGTGAAAGCTGTGCCCAGATAGATTCTGGGGGCTTTGAAAGTGAAAAAAAAAACTCTTTCCAAAGGCAGAGGCAGCAGGAAAGTTGATCCTTTTTCCTCATGGCGTGGCTCCAGTTTTTTTCCAGGAGGCCTGAATGGATCCAGCAAGCCAGTCTGGATCTTTCCAAAGACCACTGTGTGGGGACTCCAGGCAAAATGAGGAAATATTCTGGCCGGTAGATGCCCAAACATAGGCCAATGACCACTGACAAAGATATGCCCAAGTCCCAGTGTAGCACTTGTGTTGTTGACTCCGTCTGTCAGGGAAAATGACAGCTTTAGATGGATAACTGTTGTAAGCCTTAGCACTTATTGCTACAAGGCTGGAAACATTAGAAATTATCAGATCAGTCATCCTCTGACCTTGCATTGTATTTATTTGCACAGAGATGTAATGTAATTAATGAACAAATTACTTAAAACACAAAGCAGGATGGAAGAATTGTCAGGAAGGAGCACCATAAAGTTTCAACATTACTTATATGAAACTCACAAGAAATTGTTTTGCAGCTCTTCATTTAATTGATAGTTAGGGATTTCAAATAAAATGCATAGAGTTTAATAGCTTTTTTTCCCCTATAATACAAGTTGGAGAGAAGTGAGATTGTGGCATGGGTGACATTGTGTTAAATAGTTTAGCAATTACTGGTTACAACTAAGACATTTATGACACCATCTTTGACATGTGAAATGTTTTCCTTCAGGTACACTTGTGAAGAAAACTGCTTAGAAAGGAATTATCATATTTATTTTATGTTACTACAATTTTAATGTAAACAATTTAATTTATGATGGAAAAAAATGTGTGAGAGATTTCTGTATAGCTATTCTGAAACCATTTTGGTTTTTCCAGATTTAATTGTGGGTGCATTTGGAGCTGGAAAAGCAGTTGTTTACAGGTATGTGGTAAATACAACGGATTTGATCTTTCACAGGCTTGGTGGGCGATACTGAAATTAAAAAATGTCATATTCCTATTTCCCTGTTGCAGTGTTTAAAAGTGGTCATTAGAGATCATAAATTAAACATCTTTTGAGAAACAAATGGTTTTTTTCCCATACTTAAAATCTGTAATTTTCAATGAAAATTTCCATGCTTAGGCTTAGCTGAAGCAGCTTCTGGAATGTTTGACTCTAGTTAATTTTAAATAAGATATTTAAAAGGTACGGGGTTACAAACTCATTTCTTAATTTTAAAGAAATTTTAAAGTGACCAATCTTCAGAGATTGCATATGTTAAGACATGAATCATTTATTGAAAATAAAGACTGCTACTTTTAGCCTTGGTTTAAAAAAATGCACAAGATCCCATTTTACAAAACAAAAAGTTGTTGCTGACTATGGAGTATAACTAAATGCACTTTTTCATTAGATGTAAAATTTAAAGCTACCAAATAATAAACATTTACATAAAATCTGCTAATGCTCTCTTAGTCCAGCCACGCTGACAGCTCATTTCATTTAAGTATTCACCATCCATTGCTACAACATGTAGTTATATTTCTGATTCCTGTCTGGCTTCTTGTTGTCTGTATTCCTAACAGCACCTGACTGAGAAAAGGCATATTCTACTTCCCAACTGAATGTTTGTGACAGCAGAAGAATTTTGTAAAACAGGAACATTCACTCATCTCAGCTAACGCTGTAGGTGCAGTGAGAAGTCCTGATTTTCCTTCTCGCTATGAAAGAATCATGCAATGCCATGAGTGACTGCACAGGATGAAGCATTGAGGAATTAGATCTATGTTATTTCAATAACAATAAAATGTGTTCTATTTAATTTAATAAAGTGAATAGCAGGAGGCCCTTTCCTGGCAAGAATGTATCAAATATGTAATTTGTCATACTGTTGAAATAGAATTTTATTACTGAAATTTTCTAGGCAAAGAAAGGTTTTCCCTGTTGCAAAAAAAGTGAAGAAAATAATTTTATTTTTTAAAGCCTTGCTGAAGTAATATAAAGAAGTAATCACAAAAGGTCAGTTGTGTATTAAAATATCAGGAAAGTTAGAAAACTGTGATTATGTAAGTTACTATAAATAGTATTGCTGTCTTAAACAAACAGAATTTGGACACATACTTGTTATTATTTTTCTTCTAAACTGCTTGCAGTTATAAATTATCTTATCACTTACTAACAGCTTTGGACGGATGGTTTCTGTCACCAGAATATGTATATTCATGTACTCAGCACAATTTACTGGTGATTATTCCTGGTTTACAAAGTCAGTTGTCTCCAAGAAATTTCAGACAGAGTTTACTTCATTATTGGCCCAAGGTAGTATACACCAACTTCTACTTTAACCACATCATTTTTATTTTTTTAAGAGTCTTGAAACAGGCATAGTACGTTGGAATATATCATTATTAATGGAGACAGTAGAAAATAAATCTGCAAGATGGCCAAAGGACTGCTGTAAAACCCAAAAAGGCAAACTCTGTCCATTTGAGAAAACTCAATGTGATGAAATGTGTCTGATGTCAGTCCTGGGACACGTCTATTGCTTAACCATAGGGTACTGTTTCTGTGATGTGTTAACGTGAGATGGTTTGTTTTGGTTTTTTTTTTTTTTTGTTTGTTTGTTTGTTTTGTGAATCTCAGTAGGATTCTGATGGGGAAAAAAAATAAAAGGTTCTTTTGGCTATGAGCAGCATTATAAAACTGTGTTCTCCCAAGAAACCCTACATATCTGGCTTCTTTTCAGCCAACTCAGTTCAGTGTTTTCTCTGCTGCAACTTAGGTACTTATGTGCTCCTTCTGAACATGGTGAACCTTATTTCTGTCCCCCAGAGCCAGACCTGTTGTGACAGTGAATGCTCATCTTATTCTGAACCCCACGATTGTGAATCCAGACAATAAAACCTGTCAGCTCCCCGGCCCTCAGCTTTTGGTAGCCTGGTAAGTCCATGATTACTCAAAAAATATCCTTATCCTCTTTCTTGAATAACTTCCTGTTCCTAATTTTATTTCAACTCTTTGTTGAGCATGTTCAAAGTTCAAAATGTTGAAACATGCTCTGAGCACAACAAAACCACCCTCCACAGAAATCTTTTTAACATTTTCCACTACTTAGCAGATTGTGTAACTAATTGTGATAGGTAAAAGTTGAGTCCTTTGATACACAGTCTCCTTCTGCATAGGAGGATACTCAGTGTCTCCTGGGCAAGCTGCAAAGTTATATGCAATGTTTAGATGAATGAAACATGAAACAGCTAAAATGGACAAAACACATAAAGTGTTTAAACATACGTCATCTGTTTGTTGACAAAATGTAGCAGTGAAAGTGATGCAGAGCTGGTGGGCCAACCATTTTCTCTTGGAGAAAGACAGATCTTAGTCCTTTGTGGAAAAGAGAAGATATCTGGCTGGCCATCCTGAGAGAACTTCACAGGATGTTGTTTCTGGCTGTCTTTGGTCAGAGGAAAGTTTTTTTAGCACATCACACAGGACAATGTTTCAACCATCCCTAAAAGAGAAACCCTTACCCACAGTAGCATTTAACTTTGAATAGAAAAAAAAAGGGAAAAAAAAAAAAAAAAAAAAACCCTTGGAGATAATTAAACAATTTAAGATCAGTTACAAGTACAAAATGTTTGCAGGGTATTTGGAGGCTATCTAATAGCACATAACACCACATGAAGACACATTTACTTCACTAGAAAAAAGTCATTTTGAAAGGACCCCAGGAACAGTTGATAAAAGAGGCTATTACAAATACATAAGATACTGTTTAAAAGTGGAAATCATAACAAATGAGGAAACTAAAATCAAAACAGAGAATAAACACGTGCAAGTTGAATATAAAATGGTAGTGAGTCTTGCCAGAATGACTGTGAGGAACAGATTTCTAGGATGTAAAAACATTAGAAGCAGGAAGCCTGCCAGCACATGGGCTGGACAAAAACAATATTAAGGTATAAAGGAGGACTCCAGAAGATAACATGAATGCAGAAATTTTGCACTGCTTTTAAGCCAAAGATGGTCAGAGGATTTCCTCACATTAGAGACATTCTTTACAAGAGATGAGTCCTAAAAATCATCTCAAACATAAGATTCAGAGAAAGAGTCTTAAGAATTAATTGATAAATATGCACTGTAAAACATAATCATAAGAAGCAGTTAATTTAAGAGCCATGGAGGCTCTTAAAGGAACTAAACTCTGATACACTTAAATCAATAAATATGTGGGATTACAAAGCATCTGGGATGGGGTTGTCAAGAGATTTTCACTCTTGTGCTGTTCTTTTACACTTTATGGAACTTCTCATATTTTTTATCATGTTCCTCATTTCTACATCCAGGGTAGAAAATTGCCTATCTACAGAGCTATGTAGAAGGTACTTGGTGAACTATGCAAATCCAGAACTTTACAAGCTTTGGCCCTTCTGGAATTTTTTTGATTAAATTATCTTTTAACACTTGGTGTAAAAATAAATTTGAAATACAGACACTTGGCTGAAGCATGTTCATTGATCCAAATTATGTTGCTTCACAACTCCAGATTATAAGACTTTTAAAAGATGTTTAATTTCTTAATAGAAAATATTTTGGAACCTTAACAATAGGTATTGAAAGAAAAAAGGTGGGTTTTGTGCACACGAGGAAAAACATCTCTATTAAAAAACATTCTTGCTCTGAGATATTGTTTAGAAAAGGAAGGAAGAAATGAGTACTCCTTTAACATATTTTTTTGTTTTATTTACTTCTCCACTACAACGAGCTAAAAGAAGTTTGGTTCATATCTACAAGAGCTTTAATAGGAGCATAATTTAATTTCTGTCTGCTTTATTCTAAAATAATGTTCCCTAAAGATTTAGTTCATGTTATGAAATAACTGAAGAACAGCTGCTATTTTCCTCACTGTGATTTTTATTTTCATTAGTTGATATAAGCTTGTATTGTACATATGAAAACAATTAGTAGGGAAACTCCAACAGGCAAAGAATTCCTCAATCCCATGGGACAGATTTCTGTATCTCTTAGCCAGCTGTGCAACTTGTGTAAAACTCTATTGACTGACACTGCAAAATTAGAATGAAAGGAAACCTCCTACCAGAAAAGTTTCAGGAAGTGTGTGTGCATGAATAATGTGGATTATTGTAAGTTTCCTAGTACTAGGAAAATATTATTTCTGCCATGATATAAATTGCAAAGCTGAAGCAGCAGAGGAAACATGCACAAAAAAGTCATTTTTATGCACAGCTCAAGGAGAATTTTCCTGAACTTCTAGAAGCATATAATTAATTCTCTGCTCTTTGTAACATGTGTCTGAATTCCCAATACTAGCAAATCTGTAAGAAATTCTACAATTTTGAAGGTACTAAAGAATATGGGAAAAGCTTTTTTCCCCCCTAAGTATGAAAAACGCAAGTTAATATCTGTAAAAAGAGGTAAATAAATACTTTCATTTTTCAAAACCTCTTTCCACATCATATGATTTATTATGTTCAAGATTTGGCTCTAGCTGTCAGGAGGCCTAATTTATCTATGTATTTGTGTTTTTATTACCATTTGAGGTCTGATTATCCACTAGCTACCTCATATATTTGTTCTTAAATTGCATCTACAAATGTTTTTTATTCACTTCTCACTAATTTAAGATGAATATTAATAGTTCCATTTTGTAGAGGAGCAATATGTCAGAGAAGTTACCTGACTTACCACAAGTTGCATAGAAGTGTCCAATCATGAGAAGAAGTCAATTTGTAGTATATATTATAGAATATATAGAATATATTTTATATATATATTTTATATTTCTATTTTTCTATTTGTAGACTATATTTTTTATTTGTAAGTGTTTTCATGTTTGGATGTCTGATTTGAAATGTGCCATGTAGGCTGTCCACCTTCTGTAAAACCAGAAGCAGAGAGCTTAAAATTTCTCATCTGCAAGTTCCTACTATCAAAAAACATTTTGAAAAAAAATGTAGTTCCTTTATCTCCAAATTTCTTGCTATTGAAGTAGTAATAAAATATTCATTATCTTGTTTCAGCTAGATTCAGTAAATGAGACATTTCTACTTTATATACAGCTTTAAAAAAAGCTGTATATAAAATTCCTATCAAAGATATAAACCCCAAAATAATATTTCAACAGTTAATAGCTGCATAGATGAGACCGTGTTTCTACTTTTGCTCCTTTCTGTTGCTGGTATTTTCTTTTGTCATTGACCGATTGAAAGAGGATGTGATTGGTGCCCCATGGATATGGACCTAGGGGCCATTGTTGAGGTGAATTTGTGTGAGATTTTCCAAAGACTGTTGGCCAGCCTGGCCCATGGGTCGAATAGCAAAGCCATGTGGCCAAGAGTCACAGGATGGACACCTCACTCCTCAGGGGTGCTCAAAGAGGGGCAGGCAGGTGGTGTCACTTGAAACCAACACAACTGAGTTGCTGTACAGGAGACCTTTGTGCCAGGTTTTAGCTTCAGTAGCCCTAGAGACATCCAAAGGGCAGTCACTTGTTTTATCTAGCAGCCCAAGTGCTCCTGCAGCCTGGCCATGCGATGTAGCTGAGCCATGAGATGCCTTCAGCATTAAAACTCTCTGTTGCTCACTGGATTAGACTTTGCCATAACAAAATCTCAAAGCAGGGCAAGTATTAGAGCATCATAATAGAAGTGTATGACTTACTGTGGAGTCTTCCCATTCTGAGGAGGCTGTAATCTGATTTTAAGACTTGGGACACCTGCTGAAACCCCAGGGCCCTGGGTCTGCTCCCCCTTTGCTCTCTCTGCTCTCTCTCAGCTCGGGGCTCTCTGGGCTTTGCTCAGACTCCCGGGCCTCTGCTCCCCACGGCACAGGGTGGGCAGGGGAATGAAATGGGCTCCCCTGCTAACAACAGAGACTTGTCTCATCTGCTCTACCTACTTTCGCCATTCTGGCCTCCCTGGATCACGATCATCACTTACTTTTACATACTGTACTTCAAAAAGGAAACTATTTTTTAAAAGGTCATTCATCAGTAAACAATAACAGCTTCTTCGCTTCTGTGGAGATTTGTGACCTTTCAGGTTGGGTATCAGCCTCACACAGAATAGAAGACCATAACATTAAAATCTATAACATTAAAGCTTACATTGCCTTTCTGCAATTATTCTGCATTATCCATTCTTTCTCTCCATCTGCAATGCAGAGTGCTAAAGAAATTGTTAGCAATGACAAATGACACCTGGTATGATCTGCTAATGCCTTGCTTTTCACCTTCTGAAGTAAGTTTTCTATTTTTTTTTTTTTCAGCTGCTAGAGTAGGCATACCAAAATAATTTCTTTCTGGTACTAAGTGCAGTCTAGAAAATAATTTACATGGGTAACTAACTTTTCCCCACTGCTGGTGATATTAGATAATTTTATTAGGGTTAACTTTTGAAGAGACTGCTCCCATCTGTGTCAAGAGTAGTTTTGAAGAAAGGAATATTTTCAAGTTTCTTTTCTTGTGAAAATAATTTCTGCCTGCCTGAAAAACATAAAATTCTTTTAAAGAAACTGCTTTGTCGCCCCAAGATTGTCAGGAAAAGCTAGTGTGTTCAGATTTAGGGCTTTCCCTCTATTTTGTAATTGCATTCAAATACTATTCAAAGCATAATGTCATAGTGATGACAGACACAGCAGAATGAATGTGATGTGGGGATCTCTTCAGAGAGATTGATAGCACATATAAAGTTTGTATGCTTTATGATGATGGACTACTTCCCATTTCTTTCTTACTTGCTGAAGTTTTCTTCCTTTGATTGTTAATTGTGTTGTTTGGTTGATTGCCCCTACAAGCAAGCTCAAAAGCTCAGCTATTTTCTTTCTTACTGTTCCTAGGAGGCAGATCTCAAGTCTCTATAAATTCTTTCTCCTGCCCTCTTTTGTGGTCTGTCTTTCCATCTGCTTTTCTTTTTCTTGATGGTAAAACATCCCTCAACATCTCCCCAGCATGTTCTTGTTGAAATGATGAGCGAATCTAAATTCATCTAGATTTGCAATTGAAATCTTTGATGTCTTAGCACTATTTCTGAGCTAAATAACAAAATCACAAATGTGTGGTGGAATTTTGCTAAAACCATAGTCTTTCCTCTTGTGTGGCCAGAGTGTGGGATATTATCCACTTCAGATTTTTGCTTTTTTTGCTCTGCCACTCCCCTTTTGACATGCTCTGCCTGGAGCAGAAGGAGTAAATCTTGACTCTTGCAGTAATATTTGAGAACATGATTTCAGTTATCAAATATGTGTTATGAATTATTCTGTTCATTGCAGTAAATAAAACATACACTGAAAGTTGTTCTGTTTAACAAGTAAAGCATTCCAAGCAGCATTTTTGAACACAACCTTTTTTCAAACATGATAGAGCAAAATTTATATGACTCCTCCAAAGCCAGATCAGTGAGTTTAATACAATGGCAGCTCTTGAGTTTACATTTGAGGAAATATCATCTTACTCTGACATGTGAGGCCTGTGAAGTCTGATGTCTAAATTGCATTCATGCAATTGCACAAGATTTCCTCATTTTTGTTATTTTGTTCTTGTGTATTTGGAAATAATTGGTTCTTTCTGTATTGACTCATAATTGTAAAGAAGTAGGAATATGAAAAATTTGCACTTTTTACATGGACTGGAATGACTATTTGAAGGCTACAGTTTTGCAGAGATTAATGGCATTATGGCCTTCTTGTTTCTCAAGAAATAATGAAAGAATTATCCATTAAGGTCATGAGAGTGACACATATGCCAGATGTGGCAGTTTCATTACATCTGCCAGAGGAAACAAACATGCAATTGGAATGGAATTATGGGTTGGTTTAAAGGTTATGTTAGTGGTTTTGTATCCACTCTATGGGAACATTATTATACAGTATAACAGTAGTGAGGAGATCAATAGCAATGAATAAAGCAATTTTTATTTGTTTAACTCAAGCTGATTTTAATGCTGAGCTGCAATTTGTTGTCTATATACAAGCCAAAACATTTTATGAAGCTATGAAAATTTTCTTTGAGAATGATTGGTAACCAGAGACATTTGCAAGAATCTTTCACCTGAGCAATTTTGTTACATTATACAGGACTTCATTAGGAATTATGATATGCAGAACTAAGTCTGTAGAAATCTGTAGAAATCAAAAATCAAGAACATCTTTCCAGTGACAGATTTCTTGTTTTGCCACTTGTCAGGGAAGTACACTCTGCTAATTGCATCAACAGGCATAATTAATGCTATTTCTCATACCATCCAGAGTAATTTGTGAAAACTTTTTCAAAAGGCAATTCAGTTAAACATTTATAAAACTTGCATAGATTCCTTCTAAAGTGAAACTTGTCTATAATCATTACTTTTTTAGGGTTTTTTAAATTAATTTTTATGTAGGTTAAAAGTTCAGATTAGAAGGTATCAGCCAATGCAATTATAAAAGGCTTTTCCTGACAGTTGTTGAGTATAACTGCAAATCTGTTGCCAGTCTTACACAGAAATATTTCTTATGGCAAAGGACTCTCCTGTGGCTGAGGTGACATTTGTATAATCATTACAGTTGTGATGTGAGTATTTCTAGGTTCAAAAGAGCTTGCTCCACATTCAGAACAGGCAAATTAAAAACAATTAACTTATGTTGTGTTGCTTTTTGTAGAATGCATTGCTTTAGCATACTAGATAAAGAACAAGAATCACCAATTTCTCTGTGCTTTGATTTAAGTCATGTAAGTGCCACTTTCTGCAAAACGTAACAAATTAAATGCAATACAGTTTGGTTAGTCTGCTGCCAGAAAAATGGAAAAATTTAGGTTTTATATTTGGAATTAATTATAGCCTGCTGAAATCATGAAAATCTTACAGTAATGCCAATGGAACACATTGGTATCCTGAGTGTTTTATTCTGCTGAAAAACAGTTTGAGCACTGACAACATGCTCTAAGATTTTTCTGATTTGAACATGATGAAAGGATTTCTGCAGACAGCCTCTTACAAAGGTGTTTTTCTAAACTTCAGCATAAAAAAATCCAGCTTTGGCAATAGTGTCAGAAAGGTCATCTCCATGGACTCTCTCAAGAACTACTGGGACCAGAGAATCTTCTCCATACCTTTGCCAGGAGGTATTCAGAGACTGTCTTCTGTGATTATTAGTGAAGCCTAGGAGACTTCCTGATGTAATTAAGGAATATCATAGGTAGCTAGATACAATCTCGGTTAATATCTTTTTAAGCAAATGAAAATAAAACTTAAAAGATATGACTAGGGAACTGCTGATTCCCAGATCAGTCCATTTGCTGCTAATAATGAATTACTTCTCCTTTTTAATATGTAGCTTTACTGTAAGAGTCTGCGCAGACTTTGAAGGTCAAAGTATTTCAGATGAGATAGGTAAGAAATGTTTTCTATTCCTGTAATTTACCTGAGTCCTGCTCCATGTTAGCTTTTTTTCCTACACTTGGGAAGACAATAGGAGTAAGATCCTCCTAAGACAAGAAAATGCAGTTTAAAAAAAAGACATATATATGTACGTATGTATGTATATGTATATATATGCGGGGGAGTGTAAACGCAAACCTTTTATTTCTCACTTAAAGGATTTTTGCTTGACTTTAAGCCATTTTCTAAATAAAACCAAGAATTTACCTTGTTGGATAATGTTCTGCTTTGGAAAAATAATTAATTAAAGGGACAGAAGTCCTGTACACATATGATCTGTCAATGAAATAAGAAAGCTTAAATTACACATCTGGCATAATTTAGTTTAAAACCTAGTGGTCTTTTAAACAGACAGGCACTTCAAGCATGGATTAATTTTTCTTGAAAGACTTGCTTAGGTTCATTAATTATAATACGGAATGAATTCCTTACTTTTATCTTTCTGTTAAATCCTTCTGTTTAAGGATACAAATAAATAACTAATTTATTTATTTGTATCCTTTAGTGCTGAAGGGTGAATTGCAATTAGATTCATTGAAACAGAAAGGAGCTGTTAAGAGGACCCTCTTCTTTGATTACCATCAGTCACATCACTACTTCTCCATTGTGATAGAAAGACAGAAACAACTCCATTGCCAGGACTTTCTTGTTTATCTCAGAGTAAGTAGTTTAAAATATTTTGGACTTTCATCATTGTTTCAGTAGTACCAGGGATTTAAAGATAATAAAAATAAGTCACTGGAAAAGGAAGGGTAATTTCCAAAATTACAGAAATGGGATACAAGATAGACTTCATCTGTGTGTTCAGTACGTCCAGAGGATACCGCTACCTTGAAAAAATACCCTATGTAAATCTTTCACTCATCTTTTGTCAATATAAGTAGAAAAGAAAGACTGATTTTGAAGCGTGTAGAATTTCTCTGTGTAAAAATATATTTATTTCACACTCTTCTGGAAATTCTGATCAAATACTCCATCCTCTGATATAAAAATGCAAGATTGCTTTCCATTTTTGGAATCAATTTTTTTTCTAATATTCACAGTGCAGTAATAAACAAATCATGTTAAACATCATGCCAATTCAGGTTCAAAAGATTTTAAAGGAATTTTACCAGAAATATTGGCCTAAAATATTTTTTAAAATATTTTCAAGATATTTTAGATTTTTTTTAGAAAAACTAGAACTATGAAATTGAAGTTGTAAAGGAGAAAGGATCAACATTTCCTCACTTGCAGGTGGTGTTACCTCATGCAATTTAAGTAGAGTATTTCAAGTCTGATCCAAGAAATGCAGTGGGAGGTGAAATGGAGAAGTTTCAAGCACTATGTAAGGATGTAGCTAGACAATAAAGGTCGTTGAATTTATCAGTGCTAATTCTTAAAAATTCTTGGTTATGGTACAAACCAGCAATATTACCTCCACAAATCCACACATGCCCTACCTCCATTTCAAAAGGAAGGGGAGCACTAGCTGATAGGAGTTGGTTCTGTGTGTCTCTCTTAAACAGCTTCATTTTAGGCTAATTCTTTGAAAAATTTCTGAGTCTACTCAGCTCAGACAGCTTCTTCCAGATGTGGGGCTGTGGAGGCAATGTGTTCTGGGCATTCCAATTACTGGTGAGTCTCTTTGCTTTTCATAATGACACCACATGCAGCCAGAATTTGGCCACCTTCTGTCAAAGAACCATGTCTTTACCTTCAATAAAGACTACATCTTTACCTCCAGAAGTCTGAATCTGTTATCTTACTACACCAACTGAAATAATCATAGTAAACTATTGGTTTTTATTATGTGATTATTACTCACAGGATGAAACAGAATTTAGAGATAAATTATCTCCCATCAATATAAACTTCAATTATAGTTTGGATGAGTCCAGTTTTGAAGATAGTTTGACTGTGAAGCCAATACTGAACTATTACCAGAAAAACTCACTCGCAGAGCAGGTATGAATTTTGCATGTCAGATTTTCTGTATATAAACATGAAAGCATTTACAAATATTATGTGTGTCATCTTCCTTAAAAGAGAATATCACAGTCAGACATTATATGACAGGGATTTAATTAATACAAAATGTTGATTGAATATAAAAGTAGAACCAAATTGTGCTCATAGTTTTATTGACTTCTAGAATATGTAAGCCAAGTTATTATGGGATAGGGCCTGATGATGATATTGTTCTGCTAAGGACATATTTGACCATCTGAATAGTCTCCGACCTCTGACTACCACATGAAAAAGAACTTACAGAAAGCAGAAAAAGATTCAATTCACTATGGCAGTGGTAGTGGTACTTAAGACACTTAGGTTAGCAATATTTAATGAAGGGATTTGGACTTAGAGGCATGTACTAACTGTATTATACTTTTTTATTTTGCAATGGTACAGGCTTACATTCTGGTTGACTGTGGGGAGGACAACTTATGTATTCCTGACTTGCAACTTTCTGCAGTGCCGTAAGTTAAATAAAATACTAGTTAAATAAATATAAATAATATATTAATATAATATAATATAATATAATATAATATAATATAATATAATATAATATAATAATAAACATTATATTAGTTAATAATATATAAAGTTAAATATAAATAATATATTATACCATATATAAAAAGTCCAGACACTGCTAACTGTTGCAACAGAATGAAGTATGTAGAACAAAATTTTGTTCTTTACTGTAGCTAATCACTCTTACCTGATTTCCGGATTTTAATTTGTGCATCCATTTCAGCTATAAAACTAAGAAATGGAGAAATATACACTTGCAAACCACATTCATGATGTTTAATGGTTATCATAGAAAATATAGTTTGCAGGTGTTTTTTTGGAGTGGTTCTAGTTCTCTGAAAAGCAAGAGATGATACAAATTGATGTTTATAGGAGGTTTCAAGGTTTTTTTAATTCAGTTGCCAGTGACTTTGAACTTGGACACAATTCTCCTGAACTCAATACACAGTGAAGTAAATTAATCTCAAAATAAAATTTTCAAAACATGGCAACAGTTTCTCCTGTGGAGGGAGAAATATGCCAAGCTGTACAAGTGGGGAATGCCCCAGAGTGACCTGACTCTCATCAGAATCAGTCTGAGCTGTGAAACAAGGGTACAGTGCTGTTGCAGGTCTCAGGAGAATTTATGTCATTGTTTGTATTACAATGGACGTGAGGAGAATACTACCACCTTTGTGTCCTCCAGAAAACAATGCTGATGAGACCCCTGTGGCAAGTGATTCCTCCACTAAATACTTCTTGCTGTTTAGAAAGTAGTCAGGCTCCGAAATTTTTACCAGTTACTTTCAAGTTTTGTGATAGTCCATTTTGGTCACAGTGGTGTTTTCTCTTAACCTCTTTTCTACCTAGGTACTGGTACTTTTTTATGCAGTCATTTTTATAGAAAATGTTATATTTTGTGTTCACAGAGTGTTTTCCAGAACAGATACTCTGAGACCAAAATGTCCTTCTGTTTTATTCATATGCAAATCCTAATTGTGCATGTTTTAACTCCTGACAAGTAGTATGTTTTGTACAGGGATACAGATCAGCTAATAATTGGAGAAGAAAACTGTGTCATGCTCATAATAAATCCAAGGAATGATGGGGAAGGAGCCTATGAAGCTGAGCTACATATAAAGATTCCGCCTGAAGCAGATTACACTGGGGTTGAACGTAACAACAAGGTAAAGTAAAATCAAGATGTTAGTGATAATAAAGCAGACAACTGAGAACAAGGATAACCTATACAGGCTGTACCAGCTGAAAGCAGCACATAAAGAGCTTCCTTTCAGGAAGGGTGATTCCATCAACTCTCAGCTATCCTTGCTGGCACAGCCCAGGGTAAAGATAAATCATGCCTCCAAAATATGAGAAGGACAGGACACCATTCTGTTCAGACCCAGCTCAGGTTCAGCTCCTTGCCATTAACTTGTTTATAATGACATAAATACTGTCACATTTCTTCTAAGAATAGAAGTATTCACACAATTCAGATTTGGAATCAGTAAACAATATCAGGAGCAGAAAGTAATATTACCAAATTCCCTTAGTGCTTCCAACCCGGGACCCCATCGTCCCAGCTCCCAGCCGGAGTTAAGGAGCCCTGCTGACCCCTAGACACTTAGACATTGCTGTCTCCTCTCACAGCACACCAGTGTTTTACCATTATTAAGGGTGTTCCAGTCTCTGATATCCAGAATAGTTGGACATTAATTGCAGTAGAAGCTTGATAAAGTTGCTTTCCCTTGTTGTCAATTCTTTTATGTTATGAATGGATCAAAAACGCAATTAAAGTAAAATGTGCCAGTGTTCACAGAAGGACTAATGTTGACTGAAGTCCTGCTGAGCTGTACTGAACATGCAGTGTTTTTCCTCTTTGAGTCTGTTTGTTTTTTCAAGAGCAAAGATGAAACACTATCCTGCAAACAAGCAGAGTGTTCATGTATTCTGTGTTGGAGAGCAAGTCTGAATTGCCTCATCTGCACATATATCTCCCAGGCTGTTGCAACATGAGCCTGCTTTTTTCTGTTAGTGCCTGGAATGTTCAAAAGGGCCTCAAGGGTGAGAGTGGGAGAAAGCAAGTTAATTTCCTTTCTGAAGGCAAATGTTTTTAAGGAAGTTGAAAGTAACTTACAAGGTATTTCCTTATTCTCTTTCTGTCAGTGACTTTATTAATGGGCTTTTAACCTAGTTTGAAAAAAATTACAAGAAGTAATACTGTCATCAAAGATCATAAAAATTCTCTGCAACCTCACATCTCAGAAGTATATCTTAAAGACACCAGCCTTTTCCTACCACCTGTTCTCTTAGCAAAGCCTCTGCTTTTTTGGACTATAATCTGCAAAGCTAAAGTTCTCTTTAATATGCTACAAATGGTTCCCTGTTTCCTTTGTTCCCCTTTAGAAATCTTTCACTGTTCTTTTGGATGTTACCAAGGTGTCAGAGAAGGCACTAATTCCAAAACCCAAACATGTATTAGCATATATGTATTATTTGAAGGACCTGAGGGTGGGAGCAGACAGGAGGCTGGACATGAGTTGTCAATGTGCACTCCCAGCCCAGAAAGTCAAATGTGTCCTGGGCTGCATCAGCCTTCCAGTACCTGAAGGGAGACTAAAAGAAAGACAGAGAGAGACTTCTTACACTAACATGTTGTGACAGGACAAGGGACAATAAATTCAAACTGAAATAAAGTAGGTTTAGATTAGATACTAAGAAAATGTCTTGGCTGTGAGGGTGGTGAGGCACTGGAACAGGTTGTCCAGGGAAGCTAGAGATGCCACATCCCTTGAAATGTTTAAGGCCTGGTTGGATGGAGCAATCTGGTCTAGTGGAAGGTGACCTGTCCACGACAGCAGCGGGTGGAACTGGATGATTGTTAAGGTCCCTTCCAATCCAAACCATTCTGTGCTTTGGACCAGAGAGAAATCATTCTGAGCTTTTTATGATTTTAGGAAAAATTTAGTTTTATAGTGCCCACACAATAGACTCATGGAGAAAGGAAGGAAAGAATACATAGGACAGAAGGAAAGAAATAAGAGAAGCTAGAATGAGTTGAGAAGGAGTTTTAAAGTTAGAATACTTTTTCTTTTGAAGACAAAATTTTAAAAACCCAGTAAATACAACTACTTCATTATTTTCAGATTTTGGGGAAGATAAAAATGCCTTTCTGACAAATCCAATTCTGAATCCTTGTAGATTTATAAAAACCTGCTTTCCTTTTCTTCACATTTACTTAGCTCACTCCCACACATAATTTATTTCACATTATTATTTTTTATACTTCATTCAAAAAGATGTCATCATATTCTTTCTGAGAAGGACCAAAACATTAGTCCTATTTGCTACATAACTTTCAGTGTCTTTCTTTCTGCGTTTCAAAGACCATTTTCACAAGGATTACAAATGACACTGAAAGAAAGTTATTCTTCCTATTGTTTTTAAATGGTAAATGTACGTTTCTTTAAACTATGTTTTTTGCAATATTATGGTTCCATTAAGTAAACTAAAATATTAATTTCTATGTGCATTTGGAAAAAAATTTATGCTGTAAATTTCTTCTAAAATCTTCTGCATGAAAATTCTTCTGTTACCAGGATGACCAAATTCTTAGGGGTCATATTATCAATGAGTATGAGTATAAATGAGAGGAACTCAATTCATTCAACTTACAGGGCTTTGAGCAATTTGAACTGACAAGATAACAGACGAAATTATCATCCTGGATGCAGTAAACACTGAGGTATATGGAAAAAAGGTCTGCAGGCACTTTTTGAGACAGGGACTACAGGTGAAAATTACAGTTTTCATGTCAGTTGCAGCACAGTCAGCATTTCAATTCTTATTTTTATGTTTGTGTTGTATCCTGACAATGGGGCATCTGATTGCTCCTGCAATATACCTAATTTAATGCAAACCAATTTCAGCAGACAGGTATATTTATGGTGGAGCCTATGGCAATCATGTTCTTAAAGCTCTGCCTCTAGGATTGCATTTCCTCTTGGTTGCATCCATGTTTACAGTCCTCTGTATAGCTGTTTTTCTCCAAAGTGCAGAATTTCTGGTATTAAAGCAGAGATAAGATTCTCCTCAGACCCAACAAATCAGGTAGACTAAGATGAGAATAAATTAAATTGAATCAGATGAATAAATCACTTGATACATTTCTGATGGAACTGAAATATCTGTAGAATCAAATAATTCAATTACACTGTCATAATTTCAAATTGATTGTATTCATAGAGGATATTTGTCTATTGTGGGGCTATTCTGGATTTAGTCTAGATAAAAAAGAAACATACATTAAGTGCTTAATAGAGAAACACCTTAAGTGCCTCCTGTCCAGCCCTGCTTTTTTTTTCTTTATTTCATGTTAACAATGAATTGTGTTATTCTATATAATTTGAATTACACTTAGAAGCTGATGACGTCAAAAACTTAACTGAAAATTCACTTGCCTTCTCCCTCCTCTCTTCAGCTTTATGCAATATAGTGTCTGACCTGCCTCAGTTGGCATTATCTTCTTGTCTCTGACCTGATTCTGTAGAATATTGCACACAGACTGTGCAACTGCATAAAAGATGAACAAAATTTTGCAGAAATGTGATCATATGCAAGTGGAGATGCAAGTGAATATGTGTAAGCTTAGAGTTTGAGGTCAGGGACATGATTTTGGAGCTTCATTGATTCCTGCAGATGCTGACACTTCCTTCAGTCAAAAGCTGAGGATTGAAATAGAATGACTTTAAATTAAATCAAGTGTGTTTTTCACCAGTTGTATTGTGGAAACACTTAGAAGGTTCAGAAACCAGGTAAATAAGAAAATTACCACAGCTTCACTAGTTCCTGGAAACCTTTTGGCTTGCAGTAACTGTTCATATGCAGTGGGTGTGAATTTACTGCAATTAGCTGCAATGAAGAAAGTATAACCACGTATATTACCTCATATTTCCAGCACTAGATCCAGAGACAATATATACTGCTGTATGGTACATTTTTACACTACAACACTCACTAACTTGACCGTGTGTTTGAACCCCCAGCCACTGCCTGAATACTCTGCACTAACCCTTTGCTCCATGATAGAGCTGCCCATGTTAAACAGCTCAATCCTGCCTTAGTAGCAAAAGCTGGGACTCAAATTCTTATGGAATGATTAGTAAATCAGGCAAATACAAAGCATTAACAGATATATGTTATGCACCAAAACCATTATGGATTTTGGCAGAACTGCCTCTGCTCAGGCAGAGTGGTGAAGATCACATCTAGTCAGGTATTGCAGTGGATAAGCTCTGAGCCATTTCCCCTATGCCTTTCTGAACTAAAGCGTGGCACTCTTAAAATGAGAAAAAGACCTGGAACATTCTTGTCTTATATGGAAATCTTTGACTAAGTACATTGTGGCTGGCTAGATGAGATGTGATTAGAGCTTGGTGAAGGCAAAGACTACTCTTCATACATGAACTAGATACATACATACAACTAGGCGATGGTACCTAATCCATCCCCTTTTCCTTAGAAAATAAAATTGGAAAGTGATGGTAAAGGAAAGAGGAAGTTTTTTACTTGCCAGCCTGTTGCACTTAACAGTTGTGGCATCAATTAGTAATTCATCACTACAACCACAAAAAAGTTTCAAGTATGTAGGCTGCCTGGATTACTTAAAGCATTCAATCACTTTCTAGTTAAAATGCACCCTTGGAGCACATATGATAATTGTTGGGGTTTTACTTCTGCTCAAGACTGCCAAAAATCCATGTGTTGCTAGAAATGTGAATTGATACCAATACCAGGTAAAAGGACTTTGTGGCAAACCCTTCCATCTAGCTGAGTTACATGTGAATGCACTGATATTAACAACAGTAGGTGTACAAGTCTCAGCTCTTGCTAGCTTCCTTCCTGGTTTTAATTTAATTATTCATACTTCACAAATTAGCTTTTGTAATGCTGGTCAGATGAATTTTGCACCATTAATCATTTTTAATCTAGGAACATAGCCTCGAGATTGCAGAAGAGCTACTTGAAAACCTCCTCTATTTTTCCAGCCTTTGAGGGGCAAAAACAAGTGTGATACAGGCCAATTTACTTTGTGCTTGTCATCTTTAAAGAAACTGCCAACTATCTAATACAAATGAGTATTTATTTCTAACTTTTAGACCTTGATTTCAACCCCTCTCCCCCAACAAAAGCAAAACTATAAACCCACACATCAAGATCAAATGGACAATTTTCCAGACACGTTTGATTCCAACTGTGTTAACACTCTGTTTTCTCCCATGCGTTGCTTGCCACCTCTAATTACCCAGCTGGAAAGAGTGTAAAAATGCTTCCCTCCCAACCCTAGAGAGGCTTGGGAAGGCTATTAGTGCGCTGGACATGCTGTGTAACAAACTTTGTTTCTTCCTCGCAAACTGTAAAAATGTCAGTGTACAATGAGGTGTGTGCTGAGGGCATGCTTCACATGGGCTCTGCTTAGGACATGCCCTGTCTTTTCTTTTAATCTCAGGAAGTTATGAGGACAGCATGTCCATGCTGGCTTTTACAGATAGGGCAAATTGGTACAGAGGTTTCCCAGGTCTTTTTATATAGAGGGCATGAACTCATTCACACTGCTTTATGTGTGAGAATCACAAATGAGCAGAAAATTAAAGCAACTTGCTGCATCCTGCTTTTAGAAAGCTGGTTTACTTCTGCACATACATGGAAATGCCTTCATTTACTGAAGATGTCAGAGAGGAAAACAGAAAAAAAACCCACCAAAACATTTTATTGCAACCCCTCCACATTTTATTGTTTTGCTTTTGTGTCTCCTAGCTTGCACTATTTTGTAGCTGTACCTCCTTTTGTAGAGTTGTTTTGTTTACAGATAGTGTTACTAGTGATAAAGATTGCTATAAACAACAAAAACCTTTATAACTGATAATGTGAAAGTCTATCTCCTTTGTTGCTAATTTATAAACACACATAGCATGTGTTTATAAACATAACAAAAAACAAGTTATGTTTTTACAGAAATATTTAACATTCTAAGTATTTTACAACAGATTGGAAAACAAAGATCTAGAATTGATCCATACTCAAGTTTTGCTAGTGTCAGAAATTCATTTTAGAGATTTCTTGTGATGATAACATTGTAATTACTGTAAGACTTATTCTTCTCACTTAATTTTGTCTACTCTTTGTTTCTCTGTTGAGTCGTTATGGCTATAGGAATGATTCACAACAAAGCAGTATGGTAAAACTAGACATAGAGGGATCTCATCATGATTCTTAAGGTACTGGGAAACTATCCTGTTTGTTTTTCCCTGGCATCAGTTTTCCTCCATTGTCTGACAATAACGAACTAAATGTTTTGATAGTGCTCTAAGCAGGTGTCTGAAATCAAAAGAAAGGTCATAGTCAAAAAGGCATCACTTTCCCAACTGGATACATTTCACTGTGATCTCTGACCTCTATATTGGTGTCCTTTTGTTGCAGGCACTGCGTGTGTTGAGCTGTGATTACAAGATGGAAAATGAAACTAGAATGGTGGTTTGTGATCTTGGGAACCCCATGGTGGCTGGCGCAAACGTAAGGGAAAATTAGATGCATTTACTGATTTTTATTTAATTGAATTTTAAAGGGGAAGAAATGGAAATTTTTTATCACCATAATGTCCCCCAATAAGCAGCACATAAACCAAATTATTTACCTGGACAAGAAATTGTTGGTGTAATAAGAGGTAGAACTGTGCTTCTGAAAAAGTAACAATTTGTTTTTCTAAAAGATTAATTATGCTAGAACTTGGGGTTTATGTCACTCAAAGAACGTGAGAGTGACTCAATTTATCACTATCATTTCATTAGAAGTTGCACTAGTATAATGAGAATTCCAATCTCTAATGTGATCATTTTATTTCTCCCTTTCAGTATCCTCTCTACCAAAATATATAGATATATGTATAGTTAATGACAACTTTGTCAGCCTGATTGTCATCTTGAGTGCATAAAGGTTGTCTTACCAGTTTATATCACAATTTTTATCAAGTAAAGCATGTTTGGAATAAACTTTTGCTTTAAATTTCTTATTTTAATTCTAAAGATTTTTCTAAGACAGCCACTCATAAATCATACTACACATTAGATGGAATGATGGTAGCCTTGTTTTTGGACAAAAGCAGAACTGTATAATAAGTGATGATGAACACTAGATTAGGATAAAAAGTAGGTTTGGAGTTAAAAAAATTCCACACTTGTAATTCTTTATCCCTGTGTCATGATAAAACAACCCAGGAAATCCCAGAAGTGTTAAATCCAGGAATGTTCAGCTGTGGATTCTCTTGCAGAGGAATTTAGTGTTTCTCATAAATTCAAAAATTCTATGAATATTTAACTAAAAGAAAATAATCCAAATATTGATACTTAGATAAATACTGTCCTAATAAAAACAAAGCAGTCAACAGCATAAACATGTATCATAACAGTTTTTAATTGAAAGCTACTGCTGTTTGAATTTCATATTGGATCTATGGCTTTGCAAAGAAACCAGAGTAAATTTCTTTAGTAATTTCAAAATACCTACTAAGTTAAGGTTTATCCTATAGAAGATCAATATTTCAATCTTCAGCCTCTCTATAGAGGGGGTCTTTCCTGGCCTCTTTTATTGTTGAAGCAGTTCGTGTCTGACCCTTGACAGAAGAACCAAATGGGTCATATCATTGGAGACTGGGACTAGAATAAGTTTCTTTGGATCTTTGGGAAAGCCTCAGGTCAGCCATACGAGTTTAGAAAGTGAGTGAGGGCAGGTGTCTCATAGAGTCATCTGCTTGCATGGCCACAGGCAGCCCCAGAGATTCTTTGGGACTACATGGAGGTGGAAACCATTGAAAATTGAACTCTAGGTGATGGATCTCCTGGGAAGAGGAATCTTCCTGATGAGGCTCCTTCTACATTGAACTACTTTGAACTAGAAGTCTGAAGAGATTACTATAAACATTTTCTGGGAAGGTCATAGACAAGAAGACCAAAAGATTTTGTAGGTTTTGTTTTATTCTACTTAATGAAATTCCTAAAAAGTAAAAGTAATTGCAAACATTTCTGAGGAATGGAATTTTAATAATGGCATGATGGGATGTAATGACGGGCCAAAACATGAGACAAATTCCAATTCAAGGCAAATAACTTCTTCTGTTGAGAAGACAGTAATTTTACTTATCTGGTTAGTAGTTTCCTAGTTAGTGTAAAGGCAGAAGCAAATTATCAAGATACAGACAGAAGTGGAAAAGAATATTGTGGGTGATTGGGATGCAGTGGAGTGAGGCAGGAGAGTATAAAACCTCTTGGGCTGGAAGAGAAAAGGAAGACCAAACACAAGAGACACTAACTTGTATACGAAGAAGGAAATCTTTGTCATTTACTTATTGTTATAAGCATAAGCAATGGAAAGGTCTGAGTGTAGAGGTGTTAGACTACAGACCCTAATACTCGCCCCTTTTAATCCAAAGCCTTGTTTCCACATCATCCTTCACCCAAAATGCTAGCACTAGCAGTGTGAAGACTTCAGGAATGCAATTGGGTGGCCACTGAAACATTACTACTGTCGTCTGTCTCTCTATGCATTTTCACAGCATAACTATTCCTTCTTTTCTTCAGAATGAGCTCTAGGACTGCTCTAGATTACCAGATACTCCTAAAACAACTACTTCATAAAGAGAGAAGTAGCAGAGTAAAGCAGTGGGGTTCATAAGGTATTCAAGGGTAAATTATGTTACTTTTGTTATAAAGTAACATATTTGTTATTTTATAACAAAATAATCCAGCCCTTTAAAATTGAGGCGTAGGAAGGTAGAGCATTACAAAGCCAGATGGCAACATTGTTTGCTTAGAGTAAGTGAAATCTTAAATCCTAAATTATCTTCTAAACCAGCTCTCCTGGAGGCTTAGTAAAGGTGAAAGGACTTGTGTTTTTTCAGTCCAGACATATTTATGATGGCAAATGTACTTCCAAAAGCAAAATACCAGCCCTTTGTACAAATTGCATAAATCTCAAATGTTGCTCTGATCCATTTCCAGTTTTGCAAAACAATTCTGCTCTGGCAGGAGATCAGTTATTCTCCAAATACTCAGTCAGAAAGGGACTCTTTGTGGAAATTTTGAGTGGGAAGGAAGGGTTAGGTCAAAATGGAACATTCCTAAAACTCCTTAGCTATTGAGTCACCTTAATGACTTGCCAGCACCCTGAAATCCTAGAATTTTTGAGCTCTTGAAGATCAGCTTCTGAGTATGAAGGTTATGTTGGGATTTTCTAATATAATCCATGGGATATTACTCCAGCAGACTACAGGGTTGTCTGACACCTCATATCTTCAAAATACATTATGTCATCTATATCCTTAAAATTGTTTACTGGCCACAAAAAAAAAAAAAAAAAAAAAAAAAAAAAAAAAGAAAAGAAAACCTTCACCTTTTCAGTAATATATTTGAAGTTAAAAAAAAAAAAAAAAAAAGATGAAAGAGTAAAAATGAAGGTAAAAAGAATTGGTAAGGAAAACCTCAATGCCAAATGGCCCAGAATGAAAACTAAATGTCTGACAACATCACGCTGGCAAAGATTGCTCAACATACTTATTTATGATGCTGAAATGGATCAGACTGACAATCTTCCTCATGCCTGTTCAGTGGCATTAGCAAGTGAGACAATTCTAGTAGAAAAATCTGGAAGTTTATAGAAATTAGTATAAATAAGGTTAGAAGACTGGAGGCTTGAAAGATCTTGCCTATTTCTTGGTACATACTAAACTGATTGTTCAAGAGTGCCAGGTTTTATCTTTCTTTAGCACTGTAAGACACCTAAAAAAAGCTACACCTCTGTGTCCCAGAATAGTCCTAAATCCTGTCAAACATAATAGGTTAAAACTTACTAGTATATAGCAGAAGTGTCATGTATTTCAAAGATACATGATGTTACAAACATGGAAATAATGCAATTTTAATTAAACTTACTTAACTTCAAAAATTCAAAGTAAAAATAAACTATTCTGCTAAAATGTATGTCCTACTAAAATAAGTTATATGTTCAAGCAAGTTAAACTCCTTTGGCCTCCTTGGGTTTTCAGCAAGGGCATGTGAACATCTTTGCCCCATTATTAGTAGCAATGTCAAGGGTTACTTGACATTAACAAAGTCAAATGACTATACAAAGACAACATCTGCAACTTATTAGAGTTGTACAGTAGGAGTGTGTTTCACTATTAAATGGAGGGGTAAGCCTCAGGGGTGTAATAGATCATCAGAACTGCAGTTCATGCCTGCTCTGTCTGATGAAAATTTTATCTTTGGTTCATCAAATCTTTTTTCTGCTATAAGTGGAAACAAATTTATTTAGACTGGTTAGTAAAAACAGTAAAAGAAATGGTGAGTTTAATATCTGGAAATTTTTGTCCAGAAGACAAAAGTCATTATATTTTTAAAGGTGAATGGAATATCAATAGAGTTGCTAATATCATCTCCAAAAAGTGACCTTAAAATTAAAAAGAGCTTACCTCTTCATTCCAAGTCAGCTATTCAACTTTTGAGTATTTTAATGAGGACTGTCTTTTCATCTGAAAGATTTTGCTTCAAAAAGGACAGATCTACTGTAACTATGACATTAAGATAATCACAATTCAAAGATTTGAACTCACCATTCCATTTATGATGACCTTATTGGTTCAGCATGAGTCAGCTGAAAGTAGTTGAAACATGTTAGGTAAGTTTTGTTCTGGTGATGGATTGTGTTGCACCACTGCAAATTAAGAAATACAAGAAATGAATGAAAAAAAAAAAAAATTGGTGGGCAAAAGGAATTGCTTAAACATATGAAATGACAACCCCAGAGGAAAATTCCTTGTCTTTAATGATGTTGAATTTAAGTACCTATATTGGTGTGTCCTGTCCTCTTGTTAACAATGTTTCCTGAAATATTCTAAGGAAATTATGCCAAGCAGACAAGCTTTTTTTCCTCCCTCCCATCCCCCACCCCCCAATCTAGTCAGACATTGGCAGAAATGAGGGAATGATGTCCTCATTTCCTGACGCCTTTTGATGAACTTCTCACAAAGATTATTTCTCCACATGGAGAATATATCTGTGTGTTACCATCCTTTTTAAAAATGTAATTACAATGTGCATGTTGTCCTGCAAAAAATTCTGCCATCAGGCCAGATGGAAGGTAGAGGGAGAGTGAGAAGTTGTAGGAATTACAAAATTCACATTTTGAAAATTACCAGCTTTAAAACATGCAGATGAAATAATTCAAAACAATAATTTAAACATTGCAGTAGAATTTAATTAATTTAACATTGAGGGCAGATGGCATCTCCTGTTACTCACCTGCCACTTACACACTGGGGCTGTAAATATGTCCAATGAGAGACTTACAGAAATCCCACCATGGGCTACTGTATATTCCTTCTCTAGTTAGCCCTTCTCTCTTCTGAATAAACTTGATCTGCTTATCCCTGCTCTTCTTGCAAAGCAAATGGAAATTGTCAAAGGGAGGAGGCCAGGTCTGCTTAAACACATAGCAGCACCAGTGGAAGCACTTACCTCCTTTAGTTTTGGGAGCTGTGTGTTTTACTCTCTCCTCTGGTCACTCACTCCAAGTTGTGGCAAATTGAACTGCGCATGTAACTTTGAAGCTGCATTCCTCTTAACAGAACTGCAATGAAAAAAAATCAAACTAAAATTGCTGCTAATTCAGCCTGAGGTGCTCAGTCAGCCCCACAACACCTAAAGCAGCAGTGCAGAGCTGCCAGGTGCAGGGCCAATGCAGGGAGCAGGAAGCCCTGCAGACCCAGGGCTGCAGAGGCATGCATGGGTGGAGGCAGGGATGAGACCTGCCAGACAACTGTTATTTTCTTTTGGCTGGGCAAAGCAAAGCAAGCAAAGCAAATACTGTCTGGATGAAGAAGGGCCCACTGCTGTGTTCTTGGGAGTGTGCTTCTCCATTCCTCTGATCTACCCTCTCTCCAGCCAAGTTTTCCATCTGGTGACATACAGAGGCAGGAGGGTATTTTTTCCTGAGAACAACTAGATGATGTTATTTCATACTAATTTTGAAAAGCAACAGTATCCAGTATAAGTCTGTGAAATGCAATGTTGAACAGTACTGCTTTATTGATTTTGAGAGATCAATTGTTTCTAGTAACCCGTTGTTTTGTTTCTTTCTCAGTTCTCCACAGGCATTCGATTTTCTGTTCAGCATTTTGAAAATTCAGATTTCAGCATAAATTTTGAGCTGCAAATAAAAAGGTTAGATATTTTATCAAGAGCATGTTTATTTAAATTATTAATTCCTATTGGCATATTAGGTTTATTCTATAATAAGGTCCCTTTTGAATATCAGTAATTATTTCATGGGCTTTCCAATGGTAGTTTATGTCAGGAGGGTTTTTGAAGTTGGAGCCTCATTAGCTGTTAGGAAAATCAGTCTTATTTCTTTAAAATTCAGTTTAACAGATTTTTTAAGCATCCTCTGCAGATTTACCAAATTTGAACTTTATTTTATACTTCAGAACTAATAAATGGTAATCACTTTGTAACAAAGGTGAATATGTACAAACATATCATGCTCTGAATTAAACAAGAGGTGCTTCTTCTTCACAAAAATTTAGAAAATAAAAGGAAAACAGTTAAAATCTGCTCAGCAGATTTACTGGCATGGAGGGAAGTGTTTCAGTTTGGTGCAGGTGAACCTTTGTAATTTTTCCATTTGATTCCTTCCCATTTATGGGCTCACTCTAGAATCTTGTGTTTTATACTGAGCAGTACTGCTTCCACAGAGACAGAAAAGCACAGAGTGAGCTGGGTTAGGATAACAGCAAACTTGGGACCTTTTCAGTAGGTGGAAGGGCTTCTGCTCCATCTGTCCTCATCAAATACGCACTGGAGTTCTGTATGGGGCCCTCTCTGCCCCACACACAGAGATTTAATTGCTAATGTCTGGCCTTTAATGAGGGCCTTGATCATGGTCATTATGGTAAATAACTGAGACATTTGAAATGTTTAAGTCATGTCTCCATAACATAACCCTTGAAAGGAAAAGACATGCAGAAACTCAGGAAGGGCAAGCAATGCCACAGAAGTCCATTAGGCACTTGGTCAGACCTCTGCCCTTTCCCTGGAACCTGGCTGGGGATCATGCAAACCTGGATATGAGCTCCTCTGGAGAGAGACACAACTTCTACCTTGTAGGTCCCCTGTCCATGCCACTTTTCATTTCGTAATGCAAGCAATAGTTTAAAATGGTTATCCATAGCTCATGTCACTACCCTTTTCATGCTGTGAAACTGGGGAGGTTGAGAGCTTTTTGGGTAGTTAAATCTCTCTGGGTAATAAGAGTTGAATGTAGGTAACGGGTTTAAAAAGTGACAAGAATTTCCTGAGGAATAAGTCTGAACTTCAGGAGACAACAACACCTCATGCTTCCTCCGTGAGTGTGACTCACTAAAAACGTAAAGGAAAGAAATGTTTTGGGCTACAAACTGGTATGAAAATGCTGAAGTGCACACAGCTATTTAAAAAACAACAAAAAAGAAAAGAGTAAAATTTCTTATATAGGGAATGCACCCTACAGTTAAAACTCACTGCTTTGCACATTCATTCACAAGCAGCAGGACAGTTTATGTGTTTCTATGTTCTTAGTGCACAGGCAAAAGAATCCTAAAACAAAAAGGGAACAGAACTCTGTGAGGCAAAATGAGGAAATTGCCTAGATGGAAGCAAGAATACATCTGAATTTGAGTCCTAGTTTGATTTTTTCAAAAGAGAGGACTTTCATTCGCTTCAAAACATCAAGTGGAAAATAAGTATTTTGGTTTGCAAAACTGAAGTTCATAGCTTATAAGAAACAAGCAAGAGGCTGAGTATCGTCTTGAAATCTGATTCCTTTTCTGATGCAGATGTTGCTATCAATTATGTACCCCTTAGAGAGAGAGATGTCTTAGCACTTCTATTTAAACTATTTTCTGCTCTAAAAAATGCCATAAAGCATGAACAAGGTTTGACTACCAGATATGTATGATCAAAATCTGTATTTCAACTCTATGGAAAAGTAGGAAAAATATGCAAATTGGAGAGCAGCTTACTCTAACAAAGTAGTGGTATAGTAATTCTTACACTTTAAACAATTTTTGTACATTTATACTCAAAACAGTGGCTATAGAGGATTACATAAAAGTTCAAATAATGTTTGATGGGAATCTGCATTAGTTTACAAACAAATTAAATCTGCTCTTCATTTTAGCAATCTGTAACCAGAAAGCCTGGATCAAAGCAGTGCTGTTCTTTATTCCTCAGGAGTCAGTCACTGGGAATGCTGACCTCCTCTGAATGTTTCCAACTGACTGGTGCTACCCAGATGTGATAACAGCAAACTGGGACAGCAATAGAAACTTGGTGTGCATGGAGCGAGGAAGGCCACACTTGATTGAAAAGAAAAAATCCAAATTTAGTGTCATTAGTCTCATAATTAAATAAATTCTAAGTCTGTAATTACTTCACTGTCTTCATGAATTTGAACCTGCAAACCTTTCTTTATAGGAATGGGCTATAATCACTGGAGTGGCCTTTTGAAGTAAGATAAACTACCTTTATTGCTAAGGATTTGCAATCAGAAAAGACAATAAGATGAGTGAGAGCCCTAGATTTTTAACACAGAGATCTGTTTTCACTACTAAGTGGTTTTAAAATTGTAAACACTCCAGATAGGGGAGGGAAGAAAATAAGACAATGAAAGAAACAGTTGATCTTGGTTCTTTTTCCCCCAAGACTCAGTCATGCAAAAGTCACAAGTTTGGAGAGTCATAAAAATAAATTTTATTCTAACAAAACCTGTCTTGTTCATTGACACTGCCTTCCTCCAATGGGTCAAACAAACTTCTATTCTATTAAGATAGTTTTATCTATACAGATAGCCAAGTTGTACAAGACATTCTGAGCCAAATAAATTTGTATCATCTTATTCATCATCACAGGATTCATTAAAGGAAGCTTGACTTGAAGATATTATTAAATATGTGATGAGCTCAAATAATATCCAACTTAAATACTAGTGTCCTACAAGACTGAAGAGTGCCAGTAGGAATCCCATTTTGTAATATGCCCAGTGGACCTTGTGTATTGAGTGATATGATAATCTAGACTTCTGATATAAAACCTTTGTTAATACTTGTACATATTTTTTTCCAGTTCTAACAAGATAAATCCCACTAGCAACTTAGTGAACCTCCATATCAACATCAGTGCTGTGGCTCAAGTACAGATCAGAGGGTAAGTATTCAGCTATTTCAACTCATTATGATAACTACTTTTTTACATGATGTTTCTGCATATGATAATCCCACAAAGTGAATCTTTTTGGCCTTATTCATCTAGGACACCTGGGTCTGACCCCTGCAAACCTTGTAGGCTGGAGAGACTTATTGAGTGTCTGCAAAGACATCAACCTAAAGAATCTCACATTGTAGTAATACCAGTTAGAGCCAAAATTTTATTTGGGCATTCAGATTGTACATGGATGTTACTAATATAAAATGCCTGTTCATATGTGTAGGTCCTCTTGTGCAACCACTTGGACACTTAATGCTGGATACCACACAGAATCTGCTGCTTTTATGGCTGGAAATGTGAAACACATTATGGCCAGGCATGTACTAATAGAGAGCAGAGTGAGGACTTAAGAGAAAGGAATGAGTAAGAAATGAGTTATGATAAAGTGTTCACTGACACGAAGTATACCAAAATTAAATAAGCACAGTATATAATCAAAGATGATCATTTCTATCTCTGTTTTCATAGCTTAGTTTTGGAAATTGTAAAATGCAATTAGGTGATAATTGCCACTGAACATGAGCCAGCCCTGTGCCTGTGTGGCCAAGAAGGCCAATGGCATCCTGGCTTGTATCAGACACTGTGTGGCCAGCAGGCATTGATCAGCGCTCTGTACTTGGTACTGGTGAGGCCATACCTTGAATAATGGGATCATTTTTGCGCCCCTCACTACAAGAAGGACATTGAGGTACTGGAGCAAGTCCAGCAAAGAGCAACAAAGCTGGTGAAGGGCCTGGAGCAGCTGAGGGAGCTGGAGATGTTCATCCTGGAAAAAAGGAGGCTCAGAGGAGACATTATTGCTCTCTACAAATAAATGAAAGGAGGTTGTAGTGTGGTGGGAATCAGTCTCCTCTCTCAGATAACAAGTCACAGGAAAAGATGAAATGGCTTCTAGTGGCAGCAGGGGAGGTTCAGTTTAGATATTAAGAAAATCTTCACATGAGTTGTCAAGCACTGGAAGAGGCTGCCCAGGATAGTGGTGCGATGACTATCCTGGGAGATACTGAAAAGACATGTAAATCTGGCACTGAGGGACATGATTTTATAGAGAACTTGACAGTACTAGTTTTATGGTGGGACTCCATGATCTTTAAGTTTTTTTCCAACCAAAATGATTATAAGATTTTATAAGAATATTAGAGTGCCCTGTAAAATCTTGGAACTAGACTCCTATAGTGGCATCCTGGAGGAAGTCAGGAGGATTTTTAAAGCAAATAATTTCCCCCCATGCTTTTTGTCTGGGATATTAGATTTCCTACATCGCCTTTTATGAAACTACAGCACAAAAATACCCTTAGCCGTTATCAGCTCTGCAAGGGTTGAACAGGAGATACAAGGCCCAGATTCACTTCCACAGGCAGGCCATGAGGCTTGACTGTTGCAAGAGAGGTAGAGCTCTCTTATGTGATGCACCTCAAGGGTCTGCCTTAGATGTAAACAAATAAAAAATATATGTTTGTTTATGTTTTTTTAATTTATAAAAATGTATTTATTGTTGTCACTTCCAAGACAATATGACTACCTAGTGCTAGCAATAAGTCAAATAATTTTGCAGATCACAGAGAGAATGTTTTCTGCTCTAATATACAATCTGTCTGCTCTAATCTGGTCTAATATTCAGTCTAAATCTCAGGGATTTTAAAAGGATTTTTCATCATATTTTGTAAGTGTATTCCAGGTTAAGAAGACCCTAAAACTAGTCAGGCGGGAAAAAAATAGCTGGCAGTCAGCAACTGTATGGATATATGTTAATTATTTTATTTCTGAAAAGGAGATTTTATTTCTGTTGTATTTCTTGAAATACAACACGTTTAATAAGATCAGAAGTGAGACCATTACTTCATTTTCTGTAGGTAGTGGTGATCTAAGGAAATGAACTGGAGGAGAAAGAGAGGAGAAAAATACAAAAGGTGTAATACAGAAGTAGAGGTTGAGGAAAAAGAAATCAAAGGTGTTATTTAATGGGCTACAGATGTGTGAGAAAGTGTTGGGGGTCAGCGGCTGCCAGGTGTTGCCATGGGTGAACACCTGGGCTAAGGACTGTCTGGAGTTTAGGACTGGAACAGTTGTGGTTACATACACAGGATTTCCCAGTAAAGGTTGCTTCCACTGCTGTGGATTCTATTGGTTTTTTGTGAAGTCTCTCCTCACTTTAATAAAAAAGTCTTACAAACTTTTTGTTCTTTGCAGACTCCTTGGAAACTTTGTCTTCATCAGGCTTTTTCTGTGCCATAGTGTGTTCCTTTCAATGAAATATTCTGTAAAGTGTAAATAGAGAGACCAAAAAATGACCACAAAATCCTCAATTCTTACAGGCTTGGTGATAAGTGGAAAAAGTTGCTTGAATTGCTGACTGCAGTTCTGAGAAACAGATTATTAAATACAGAGGAATTACTTAATTGAATGACATCCAGTTTCTTTCCTCTTAAGTATTTTAGTTTCCTTATTAGCTATAGCATTCTCAACTGCTTGGTTGACAGATTTTGCTAATTACTCAGATATGCTAAAACATGCAGTTCCAAGGGAATTGCTCACTATTTCCTAGATAAAAATAAAAGAAAGACTCTGTCCACATTTGGACTGGAAAATACCTTGCATTAGTTTCTTTGCTTCTCTTCCGAGAATTGCATGGAGTGTAACTAAATGCATCACACATTTTACTGAGGAAAAGTAAGTATTTATGAAATCGTGCATATGCATACATGCAGATGCACAGTGGAACCATGCAAATACTTCTTCTATGAGAAAGGAAGAAATCTTCTTCAATAGCCTCTTTAAAAGAAAATTAATAACACTCCTTAGTTCAATAAGCAGTTATTTTGATAACTAAGATTTGATTATTCTACTTACCTTTCTTTGTCTATAAAAATGTAGGAGTATTAATATTGTCATTGTTATCTCCCACTGCTGTAAAAGCACCAGAGGAATTCAGGAAGGAACTAATTTGGATTGAGAGGATTTGGAGCTGGCAGAATTTTTATTGTCTGTCTCCATATAGGTCTTTTCTGTGGGCCGTACTTTGTTTATTTTATTTTTCAGTACTCCTTTTTCATGATAATTATCACCTAAAAGTCTAGGAAAAATCCTTGTCTAATAAATCATTCAAATATTAAAAATATTCTCAATTAAATGCAAAATAAAATAATGAAAAGAGTGGATTTGTTTCTCATTTGACCTAATTTTGCTACTTTCATTTCAATAGCAGAAGTCCTCAAAATAACTGTAAATTCTGTTAAAATAAATGTTCTTATATATGCTAAAATAATTTTAATTTAATGTCTAAATTTATACTTTGCATTTTGTAATTCCATGGATAAGAATACTTCCCTGGCAGTGCAATACAAAACAATGAGTTTTGAAGGCTCATGTCTTCTTTTTTTTGTCTCTGTGCAGTTTCTGATTTGCAGTTTTTTTGTGGTAGATTAAGGGTCTATCTGTATTGGCTTTTGTAACAACACTCTGAAGTTCCTATTCTCCAACAGCAATCAATAATTAAAATTCATACTGGAAAAATGATGATTTGTGAAACTTAGGCTAAGTACATAATCAGAAATTACTTTTTTAATTAATACGTTGAGTTTCTTTTATTATTATGGTTGGCTTGTGAATTTATCTTTTGGCATACTTGATGGTACAAACTGCTGGTATTTTGAAGTCTGAGGAGTATTAAGAGCTAGCATAATACTCCCAAATACACCAAATTTCACAAAGAGTTGTGCTTCAGCTGGATAGCATTAAGCTGTTCCCTGGGATTTCTCGCTGCTTTTTCATTCATTGTATATGACATATGAGCTGTAATCACGAACAGTTTGTTCCTTCCAATAACATTTTTTCAGCATTTGCAACAAAACCATGCAATCTTTTCTTCAAGAGGCAATCTACAGCAGGGCTACTGCAAAGTGTTTAACATCAGTGCCTAAAAGTCCATTATGGCATTCATATTTTACACTCTAAAAAAATTAATGATTGTTTTTTAACAGTTTTCTGTTAGCAAAACTCCAGCTTTGGCAGAACCAACACTGAAATGTTATGGATTTTCTTTCAGCTAAAGACTCCATAAACCAGCAAAACTGAGTGAGAACTGACCCTGGCAAAGAAAGGGTAATACCATTTTAGCACCAAGAGCTACATGCAGTACTTGTATGTGACAGATGTCTGTGGCAGAACTGATCTATCATGCTAAAAAAATTATTGGGATCTGATTTCCCAACTTGGAACACCTGAGTGAGGCTTAGTTGGTATCTGAATGGGACCAGTACAATGAAATTCCAGTTTTTATGGGAAATAAAATGTTTGTGATTCAAATAAAAATATTAACAGAAGACTACTTTCTTAAGGTCAGATAGAGAAGAAAAGGAAAAATAAAAAAGCAGCTGGAAGGATGTAAAAAAAGTCACAGTTTTCTTTGTTTATGTTTTATTTATATGTTGCAAGTTGCAACAGTATTCCAGGGAATGCTTTAACTGCCACTTGGTTCGCAAAGCAGCTGGAAATCCTGGAGCACTCTTTTAGAGTCTAGTCCTGAATTCTGTTTCTCAGTACACCAATTTCCATTATGACTTTATGGAAGTCACAATACCTCTGTTTCCCATCTGTAAGATGAGATAGGCTACTTTGCAAGGTTTTTTAAAGGAAAAATAACAGATGTTACAGAAATTGACAATCAGAACAGTTAATATCGAAAAACATATTCTAGGGCAGAAAGACACATCAAATTAAACACCCATAGGCTTTAAATGGAAATAGAAAAATACATTTATTTACTCTACTTTTGTGAATAATGTATTAAGTTATCTTATCAGTGAGAATGATAAAAATGCTCAACAGACTGGATTCCTCTCTCCAAACAGAGCTACACCCTGGACTGTCAGCACAGTCCATCACAGAAGGTATGACACTAATTGTGCACCCTCAGTCATTTGCAAGGATTGGGTAGTATGTCATGGAGGCATTGTAGCATTCACTTCACCTAAGTCTAATTAATGTGCCAAACAACAAGCCTTTGAGGGCTCAGGTTTTTATAGTGGTCATCATTTTGTTCTAAAACTACTGCAATCAGTCATTGGTAACAGTTAGTGTTTTAACCTGTTTTGTTTATTACAGAGTGTCTCACCCCCCAACAATTATTTTGCCTCTTCACAACTGGGAGCCCAAAGATGAACCTACAAAAGAAGAAGAAGTTGGTCCTTTAGTAGAACACATCTATGAGGTAAAAATTATGTGTGTTGCCGCAGGACCTCACACTGCCCCCACTGAATTACTGATGAATTTACTTTATTGTCTTTATCTGTAGCTAGATAAAGCCACAAATGTAAATACTCTGACTTTAGCACACAACCAAAATTTAATCTGGGAATTCACGGCCCCATTATCTGTTCATGTGAGTGGAGGGGATATTAGTTTATGCTAGGAGTCTGTCTTAAATATATAAGGGATTTATAAACATTTTGGGTGTTTGACAAGAATTAAAAACAGTACTTAAAAATTCCTTATAATCAATGTCAAGTATCTTCTCATTAGAAGCTGTACATGCTGTGCACTGGAAAAAATGCTTTCTTTGACATTTAGCTTACTGAATAAAATAATGTAGACATACATGTAATTATTAACTCAGGAAATACTCTGTTGAAAAAAACTCTTAATATTTGAAGTACACATATTTTTACCTTGTATTTTTGTTGGTTTTTTCCTATGGATGATTTATCAATTAAAAGAGTTCAGCTTAGAAAAACAACATTGAGTGAACTACATGGAATAGAAGCCATCCTTAGAATCTGATGGATGGCCTTTATTCTGGAGGGTAAAACAGGGGGCTTCACATATGGTTATAATTCACAAACTAGCACTCAAGAAAATATAAACAACTGAATTTAATCAGCAGTGTAAGATTACCATTTGCATGACATAGTAAAGTATAGTGAATACAACTGTAAAATACAAATTATCATTTGTGAATTCCCCATATTAACACATTTATCTAAACTGAAAAATACTTCAAATCATCCTGTCTCAAGCATTTGGATTGTTTGTGAAACTGTATTTGTGACTTCAAATATATTAAAATAATTACAGTGACTACTTACAGTTACTAAGGAAACCACTTACATGGTTTATATCAGCAAAGCATACAAAAGACCAAGCAATCTCCCAGAAGATATAAGACTGAAAGGGTTTTTATTTAGTTGTAACCAAAGGTCATCAGTCACAAGAATCCTGCATATTTTTAAAAAAATAGGTTCTCATATCTCTAGAAACTTTGTGTAAAGGCCCATGGTGTTCAGCTTTTTAACTATCCAAGCCCAATGGCAACACATGTCCAGACTCCTGTTGTCATCAGTTATTTTCAAACTGTAAGCTGATATAAGGAAACTATTTTAATAGCCAATGTTTCTAAATTTTTATTATTTCTATCTTTGCTCATTATCCCCAGAAAAAAAATAATGTCCTGTGATATTAATTTAGGCAAACTGGTCCCTTCTTTTGAGAAAATCTAGATTGAGAATGTTGAAAATATAGTTCTTAACGAATGAAGCTAGTTTAAGTTCTGCTCTACCTTCTATTCTTGTGCCCTGGAATGTAATACTTTTGTATTCTGAAGTTTTGGCTACTATTTTCAAGTATGATCTGTTAAGGTGCATTGTTCATATTTCTATGGGGTTTGTTTGCTAGTTTGTTTGTTTGTTTGTTTTGGGTTGGGATTTTTTAATATTTTTTTAGATAATTTCAACTCTTCAAATGTAGGAAAAAATGGAAAAGGTAATGGATTTCTTGAATACACACTCAGACAGAAAAGACTGTTCTCTCAGATTTGCCATTGGCTTTGTGACTAATGTGGAGATGGTCTAACTTCCGCTGATTCTCCATCAGTAAAGTGACATTAATAATCTGTAATAACCTTCCCTAAATACTCTAAGGCTGTGTCCAGTAAGAATTTGAAAATACTTGAGTGGTGGTTGCAATGTTTTTTGTTGTTTTTATTGCCTTAGAAAGTACTGATCATGTTGCTTCAACAGCTGCACAATATAGGACCAAGTGCCATCAACAATACAGTTCTCCATGTTGGTTGGCCTGTGTCCAGTAGAGAGGAATTTCTTCTTTATATCCTTCACATTCAGACACACGGACCATTGCACTGTCAAACAAGCTCTCCTATTAATACAATGCAAATAAAGGTAAGTGCTTTATTTCCGTCCCTTTCTGCATTTTGATTGGGTTTTTTGCCTATACTTCACAATGGAACTTTCTTTGGCATTTTTAATAGTCCAAGATAATTTTCCTGGTTAAGAAGCAAGATATAGAAAGTCTATAACATTTCTATGTTGTGTTGCTTGGTACATATTTGGTTTCTGTACTCTTTATATGAGGAGAAGGGTGTGCTCAATCCCACTGTCGATGCTACCAGCAGAGATGTTAAAAAGGGCCCTATCTCAATACCACCACTGAGGAACACCACGTGTCACTGGTCTCCAACTGGACATTAAGACACTGACCACAATTCCATGAGACACAGCCCATTCATTATCCCCTGAGTGCTCTGTCAGATCCATGTCTTTCCAGCACAGAGACCAGAATACCACCTGGAACTGTGGCAGAGGTTTTGTCTAGGTGCAAGTAGATGATAACAGTTGTCCTTATCCACTAACACTGTGACCTCACCATAGAAGGCCACCAAATCTGTCAGGCACAGTTTGCCTTTAGTGAAGCCATATTGGCTGTCACAAATCACCTCCTCATTTTCCATGTGCCTTAGCATAGTTTCCAGGAAGATCTGCCCCATGACTGGGTTGGGCACAGAAGTGAGACTGCCTGGTCTGTAGTTCTGCAGGTTTTCCTTTTTCACCTTTTTTAGAAATGGAAGTTATGTTTCCCCTTTTCCAGTCAGTGAGAATTTCACCTGACTGCCACATCTTTTCAGGTATGGATAGTGGCTTAGTTGGTTCATTTGCCAGTTCCCTCAGGTCCCATGGATGTATCTCATCAAGTCTCATGGACAAGTGCACCTTCAGATTCAGAGCAGGCAGTTCTTCTTTGTTCCTTCTGTGATTTGGGCAGTGTGCCTGGAGCATTTGCCAGTGAAGACTGAGGCAAGAAAGTCATTGAGCACCTCCTGGATAACCAGGTCTCCTATTTCCTTCTGGAGATAACTTCTATTTTCCCCCACCTGCCTTTGAGTATCCATAGAAGCTTTTCATATTGTTTTTAACATCCTTGGCTGCATTTAATTCTCTTAGGGCTTTAGCTTTCCTAACCTGATCCCTGGCTGCTTGGACAATTTCCTGTTTTAAGATCTATGTTTGTGATGGAAGATCCCCTCAAAAGAGCTTGGTTTGGCTCAAAGTCAGAAGATTAAGCAAAACACAGCTCTACAAATTATCCCATCAAAAACAAGGTATCCAATTTATTAAGCATGACTGATTCCAGACATTTCTGGAGTAAACAACAACACTTCTCAAGTTTAAGCAGTAGCCTGTTAAACATCTTTCAGGGAGAGCTGCATTCCAGGTGCTAAAAATGCTCTGTGTCTTTTGCATACCAGAATGGGTTTGAGTTCGGTATGTTCGATGAAAGGGGAGACAACTTTCTAATGATGAGGAGTGTTCATAACTTAAGGAATCACAAGTCAAGTCTTTAGGTTGGACAGACAGACCTACAATATATACTTAAAAGGGGTAAAGAAAAATTAATGTCTACCAAATACAGTATGGTAGAGTTTTTTTGTTTCACCCAGGAAACTGAAGAGACGTTGGAATTCCACCCTTTTATTTAGTTCTTTAGAGAAACAAAAAGCAAACGTGTTTTTTTCTGTGTAGGAAACAGAAGACAGAAAATGTCTGTCCAGTTTATACCCAAAGCACAGCAAAATTTGAGACAGGGATTTTTTTCTGCATATCTTTTCTACCTAATTTTTCACCTCCTTTTCAAAAGTGGTGAGGAGGAAGAAGCTAAGGTGCTGCATTTGTACTTGCAAGCCTAGCTTCTCAAAGTCACTGATCAGCTCACAGATCACAGCAAGCATGTGAAAAGCAGTTCAGCATTCTCCCACCCTAGCCACTGTGTTCTGTTTAAGGTTGAATTAAGAAGCTGGGTAGAATACTGCCAGTTCTTACTGACATTTTCAGGCAATGTATATTTTTTTTAATTTAATTTATTTTTTAAGAAGTTTGCTCTTCCTTCTCCTACTTGATAATGATTGCATCTGTTACATTAAAAAGACTTAATTCTTGTGAAGATGGTGAGAAATTTTCCTGTAATAATGATCTATCTGTTGTGGCAGAATATGGCTTTAGATGCACAGTTGTTATGGCAAGAAATTAAATATCCTTTCCTTATTTCAATTTTTCAAAGCATTGAACAGTATGAATACACAAATCTGTTTCAAATATGTCATGCTTATCTATTGCTTCAGATGGCAAGAGGACACAGAGATAGGCTTCTTAAAGTTTTGTATAAACAATGTGATGCTTAGCTCAAATTTCCAAATAAGGCTAAGACTTCTCTTGGATATCCGAACTTACCGCTCTTAGGGCACTGAGGCATTTCCCCTTTGAAATTACTCAGATAGTTCTGTTTCAATCAAAGCAGTATATTCCTCCCCACTGCTGAATTTCTTGTCTTGTAAAAAATTTTATCTGAGCTTTGTTGTCTAGTCCACAAGGATAAGTCACACCTATGCACACATGGGGAGCCTTTTGTTTAGGAACTTTTCTGTAGCTTATCTTTCTATGAAGAGAGTGAGGGGTATGAAAGGATAATAAAACTATGGATCTCGAAAAAGGTGTAAAAAGGAGCAAAAGTACTTATCAAAGATATGGAATGAATTCCAATGCAGAACTCAGAACTCAGTAAACTAAGGACACTCAGAACTCAGAACACTTCAGTCTGGAAAATAGGTGACTAAGCACAAATATGATCCTCAAAATGAGTAGTGGCAGGAAGAGCGTGGGTGTGGATTGACTGTTGTCTGCCTCTTCCTGCACAGGCACTGGAACATCTATCTAATGAAGCCTGGAGAGCCAGAATCAAAACAAGCAAAAGGAAGTGGTGGTTCATGGTGGCAGGTCTCAGGTGTCTGGAATTTGTGGCCAAAGGGAAGTAGTCAGGGTTAAAAGTTTACATGATTCTAAGAGGAAAGTAAACAAATTCCCAAAAGAGAAGTCCAGTGAAGATTAGCAAATGGACACAAACTTCATATAGATAAGGAAGTCCCTGATCTGAAAACATTTGGAAGCTGAAAGTTATTAGGAGAGTATTGTGTATGCATGCCCCATTCTTACTTGCTTCTTACTCTTCCTAAAGGCAGCTGTGATGAGAAGAGGGCACAGTTAGATTGCCTTCTGGCTTGAGACAAATTCCTGATGAGTCATTTTTTTCTCCCAGACTGATGGAAAAAAGCATTTTTAAGAAACCTGTACCTATAAATACCACTGTGGTAGAATATACAGACACACATGGCACATTCTCAATAGCTGAGCAGTGCAGTACCACAAGTGAGACATCTGTCAGGGAAGCATTGAAATAACAGCAAAAATCCACCACATGTATAAGGTACATCCACCAACATGAGGGGCAGGAGCTAACCCCTTCCAGAGGCACTGTCTCCTCATGCTGCAAAACTGTTACTACTTCAGGGCTTGGTCTTGGTACAAAGTAATACCATCCTATGCATTGCTCTTGAATGGTCACCAGCCCCTCTTGTGTAATTTTGTGTATAATCTAGTAATATAATATATTTATATTATATGTTATATAACATATAATAGATATTGTATTATAGATATGCATATCATATTAAAATATGTATAATGAAGTAGAATATAATATAATATAATGTATGTAATATAAAACAATGTGTATAATCTTTGTATAAAAAAGTCCTCTTCCAGAACATTTCTGATGGAGTTAGACAATGCAGCCTGGCTAGAAAACGAGAAAAGTGAAACATGGTATTGAAATGAGAAGTGGGAAACTGGAGAGGTCTGGAACATGCTCAAAGTAATAATGCTCAGGAGAAGAAGGCAGTACAGTTTTCCATGGTGGGGAAACTGAGACAGTCCACTCTAGTTAAAGGGAGGGAGTGATCCTCTAAGATAGTGTGCCTAATACGTGGTATATAAAATAGGAACAAAGACAGATTATACAGTTGAGCAATTCTATGTGACCAGCTCAAGAAGGATAAAATAATATCTTTAACCTGGACATCTGGGCCACTGGACAAATTCTGCTTTTAAGTGGTTGCAGGAGACACATGTGTTTCTCTTATCCACAGAGGGCTGTTTTCGAACCTTTGCTGTAACAATCCACTGAGATGCTAACACTCTAGGATCTATGAAAAAAGAAAAATGTAAATATGAAAATCCTCTGTTACTCAAAGGGATCTACATATGTATCCATTGTGATCATATATTCAGGGCTTCTTTGCAGGCACATTAGTATGTTGTGGGTTTTTTTAATTTGTCATCATTAAAGAAGTCTATATGCTGGTGAAAGAATTCTGGAAGGATAATTTGCACATTACCACACTGAGAGGGAGAAATTTACTAGCTACTTACGATTCCCTTATTGCAAATAGACAATGCTATCCTCATGAAGCAACAGAAAAAAGGAAAAAAAAAAGATGATTCTTTTTTTTTTCATGGGTTTTTGCTAGTTAATGAATTACAGTATCTTTCACTTTGTAGGATGCTTTTGACTGAAGATCTCAGATAATGTCAAATGTTTATGTTCTATTCATAGCACTATAATTTTAATCAGATATATTACACCAATTTTCCAATCTAGTATTATGCAGTACTAGTGTGTGGAAGGTTTTGTGTGTTTATAGCTATTCTCTTTTAACATTTACTACAATTACAAGCATATTACAATTAACAACATTATTACAATTACAAATATTTTCTTTTGGAATTTGTTTAAGATATTTTGTGTTCAGAGGTTAAAGGAACTGACAAGAAGGATCTGATGTAGTGCTTTATAATCTGATGTCCTTAAGGAATAGCTTTGGCTATGTTTAATTGAATTCCTGTTGAGCTCTTACTATAAACTTCCATGTATATTTTATTGTGATTTGACATGATCAGATTGTCATGAATTAAAATTTATCATTCCTACTGTAGCAGTTGGTTCCAGGAGTTATTTGAGGCTTCATAAAAGAAGCCATAAATCCCCAGTATAGGAATTAAAGACAAACTGCCAAAAATCTGCAAAAACAAAGCTGAAGAGAATACATTTTAATGTGAGATTTAAAATGAAGAAGCTGTTGTATTATACAAAGTTGAGCTGTTACCAAAACAAATCTGTAACATATTTTTTATATAATCAAAAATTTTGTTGTTTGAAGTCAGACTTCCTTTTTTTTCTAAAAGTGGTAAAATCATTTTATTTTATTAGGCAGATTCTGATCTGAACTAATGACTAAACTACTGTGCAACAACTCTGAATTTATTCTGTTATATATATCAGAATTTGCCCCCAAGGGTCTAACAAAATTAAGTAAAGCAAAAAAATTTACACCAGTAAAAATGGAGAAAAATGTTGGCTACTGTAATTCCTATAACTGGGCAATATTTTGCTGTGCTATTACTCATCATGCTCCTAGTTGAAGATAAAGTATTCTCATGATTGTGCTGTTCAATTGAAAAAACAGCATTAATCCAGAATTCAAGACCGCTGAGACAGGAACAAATCTGTTAGAATAGTTGTATGTGTATGTCATTACCATTCCCATTTCTCTCTTTGCAGTTTGCTGTTCCAGAAGACACTCCTGAACTTGCTGCTTTTTTATATAATTCCACAATTTCTCATTACATCAGGAGAAGGGATGTCGCAGTGGCAGAACCTCACAGGAAAAACTCTGCGAAAATATTGGTGAGCTATCTAAAAGCTGTATACTGGGACTGTGCAGGGAAAGGTGAGACTACAATACCACAGGCAAGGCAACTTGGACAGGTCACTGTATTTTTAACAATCCAGAAAATGCTGGAGCAATAGCAATGCTGTCTCTCCTATGAATATAGTTCTGATTAGACATTTTGGTACCTGAGTATTTGGACTTGGCTGTATTTTCAGAAGTTTTTTCCACTCCTGCATTCAAAGTGCCATCCTTAGCATACTTCAGCCCTGTAGGTGTCTCCTGCCTTTGTCTAAAGGCAATGTGTGAACACGATGACCTTGAAATCAGTCAAGGGATTCACAGTCAGTGCTTTCCATCTATCTTTATGAACCTTGGGCAGAGTTTCTTTCATGCTGTCCAGTCTCTTATTAAGCTGTTTACTGCAAGCTCATGCTTGAATTCCTTGACCTCAATAGAATTTGGTAGCAAAAAACCTCACAAACTTGAGTGTTCTGGACTAAGAGAATAATTATTGCTTCTGAAAGTTAATTTGGCAATTTTTAAAACAGGAAGAAGAGAATCTGAATGTAATGAAAACTGTAATGTTATTAAGAAAAAAATCACAGTTTAACCCATTTTAAGCAATAATCACTTTCATCAACCCACTACCCTAGGAAGAATCCGATTCCACTGGGTCTGAAGGAAAAATGCAGGACTTTCAAAGACATGTCAGTCAATATCACAGAACACTTAATCCATTCTTCAGTGATATTTTAATTTTCAGTCATCTTTCAGAGTGACCAGGATCATAGGCTGCCAACATAAAAACGACTGCAGCAACTGGAAGTGGTTAACAAAGTTCTGAAGCATGCACTGTTTTTGCAACTTAAAATATGAAGCAGAGAATTTTCAGCTGCTTGATGTAGAGGGATCAAACATATTTGGTGGGGTACGCAGTAATATGAAATTGGAACTTTGATGAGCGTTCTTCTAGTAGAATATGCTTTTGATCAGCACAAATTAGGATAGGATTGGGTGCAGTGATTACCACTGGATATATAGAAAGACTTTTCCAGGGTGAGCACAGAAAAGCAATGTCATTGTTTCAGTTAGAAGGTGTCCCAATCAGCATTAGTGACTGCTGATGCATAATTTCTTATTTAATTTGACACATTGGAAGTACACATGGAAAATGAATGTTGCTCTGGAAAAGACTGATTGGCCAAAGATAATTCTTCATTAAAAATTGTAATTTTTTAAAGAAATTTTAAGTTATTTTAATTTTCATCAAAGCATCTTCACAGAGAGACAAAATGTTCTGAGAAGCTCTTATTTTATTTATACTATTGATTAAATATTTGGTTTCTTTTCCATTAGTTCAAATGTTATGTTGTTCTGAAAATCACTACAGTCTAAATGCATTACTAAGAAAAACAGAAATATGTATTGAGGTCCTAAAATATCAGCCAAAAGTAGACTTTTATGCATACTAATGATTTGTTTTGCTAATGTGTGTTTTTGACCACCGTGATTAATGAAAACAAGTCTTCTCCTTCCTGCAAAATAAATAAATCTGTTTGGAGGATGTTTAAAGCCAAATAAACAGATACTTTAAAATATTCATTAAAAAAAAAAAAAAAAGTTTATAGCTGCAAATTCCAGGGTTTACAGTTTCATTTTCAGTCAGATATAGAAAGCAGCAATTAGGCATACAGCTTCTGCTTATCCTCCAATAAGACAGAGATTTGTGAGGAAAGCTGTCTATAAAGATACAGGATTCCTTAAGGGTGTTTTCAGATTTGTTCCATGCATCATCATCTCATTTCCTGAAGATTGAGTATTGGTAGTGCATTCTCGCTCTCACTAGGGAATATACTTACTTTTGAAAACTTAGCTTTGCTTTTGAGGTCATAAGGCCTTCTGTCATGGGAGGGATTCTCTGCTTTGTTATAAAAATAGTAATCAATTAAAACCTCAGCCTTCCCCTGAGTCAAACAAAACTTTTCAGATAAAACCCATTTGTATATACAAATTTTTTTATTTTTTCCACAAACATTTAATCATTTTTTATGAGATCATTTTTACTTTTTATGCCCTAAACAACCACATAATTCCTGTGGTTACCCCATGAGACTCTGCTCATTCCCTTCAGTGGCTTCCAGTCAGCTTTTAACCTTTAGTGTGACATTCTTCTGGCAGACTTCAGGAGTATATAGTTTTGAGTTGCAATGCTTGGCTTTTGCCTTCAGCCTTGTGCATGAGCCAGAATCGCTGCTCATCAGGAATGTTTCATGGACAAGAAGTTTCAAGTAAAGCAACTAGTGAATCTCAGCAAATGTTCTGGCTGCTATGATGTAAATATCTGTGGGAAAACAAGGAGAGTTAAAAAGGGGGAAACATTTAGCAATACAAATAACCACTTAATGCATAAAGAACAGAAAAAAAAAGTGTTGAATCATAAAATGATTGATAGGTGAGGAAGAAGCACATGTTTCAAAGTATTGGTAAGTGCCTGGACATTTTAAGAGTTCTTCAGAGCAGACACTGTTGAAGATTATTACTTTTATTTTCTTTACTATAGGTAGGTGTTTGTATTCATAGGTGATTCAAAAAGAAGCTGCTCCTTGATTTAGAGTTATCACAATGACTCATAGGGTGTCTCATGTATATTAGATGAAATTACTGATTTCAGACTATTTAGCTCTTTAAGGAAAAGTTCATTTGTTTTTGCTTATTTATAGCAGTTGAAAATTATTTTGTTTTCAAAGCATAAGTATGACTTCCCTTTATTTTTTTCTCAGAACTGTACAAATGTGAAGTGTGTCTTAATTTCATGCACTGTGGGACAGCTGGAAAGAGGAAAGAGTGCAGCACTAAAAATCAGGTCCCGGCTCTGGGCACAAACATTCCTGGAGGTAATGCACACAAACATTTGTTTCTATACACATATAAAAATATTTTTTATTTGAGCAGATATTTAAAAATAAAAATTATTAAATTAAATGGGGCAAATGTAAATACTTTTTGCTACCACTTTCTTTGAAGATAACATCTCACTGGTTCATGTCCAGGTTTTTGGGATGCTGCTTACTTTTCTTTTTCTTCCTATCACTCCTTCTCAAATTTATGTCCTGAATCCTACTTGAAGATTCCAGGATTACTTTTAAATACCTTTCCTCATTTTGCTTCTGCTTTCTAGGACTGTCCCAAATGTTCTGCATTTATAACCTCTTTCCCAGTGGAAGGTTTTTCTTGGAGCCAAACAGTGTATCATGTACACTATGTCCAGCTTAAAAATTCATTGTTATTTATTTTATTAATCTAGGGGAGAGTAGTATGCATCAAGTTCATATAATGCATGACACTCATGTAGTGGCAATCTGTCTTACTACTAAAAGAAGGGACAGAGTGAACGGTGGAAAAAAATAAAACTTCTCTTTGCAAATTCTTGCATTTCCAACTTCTGCTCTCAGGATTCTATTCACACTGCATAAAGGGACCTGTTGGAGTGAGTGCAGAGGAGGGCCACAAAGATGACTGGAAGAATAAAACACTTCTGTGAGGAAAGGCTGAGAGAGATGGGGTTGTTCAGCCTAGAGAAGAGAAGGCTACAGGAAGAGATTTTGGCACATTCCAGTACCTAAAGGAGTCTTCTGAGAAAGAGAGGAACAAATCTTTTAGCAGGGCATGTTGAAGTAGGACAAGGGGTAATGGTTTTCAACTAAAAGAGGATCTGTTTAGATTAGATGCAAGAAAGAAGTGTTTCAAAATGAGGATGGTGAAATGCTGGAAAAAGTTGCCCAGAGAGGTGGCAGATGCTTTGTCCCTGGAAACATTCAAGGTCAGATTAGACTCTGAGCAGCTTGGACTAATTGAAGACTTCCAGGCTTATGGCAGATGACTTTTAAAGTTCTCTTCCAACCCAAATTATTCTATGATTTTGTAAGGCAGAGGGATTTTACTGTGAGCTGTTACCTCACAGCTGGCTGTGTGTCTGTATTTACTGTGCAATTGTCATGCCTTTAACACTGGAGAATACACGGTGAAATTTATAATTCCATTTGCTGTTTTTAAGAAATACCTGCATCTCCTGTCTTGATCAAGCTGATTTATTATTGGCCTCTTTCCCAAGGAATTTAGAATTCCTCAGTATTTCTATCTGGAATGCAAGAACCTTCCTTTGTTCCCTATTGCTGTGGGAGAAGAATTCTTTATATTCAGGGGACCTCTTACCCTAGAAAAAGAAGAATTGAGGATCTTCAGTTTACAGCTTTAAATTAAGCTCCTCATGCCTTTGAAGTTAATTTCTCCTTTCCCTCAGATATAAAAGTAGACAAAAGAAATTCATCCTCACTTGCTTTCCTGAAGAAATGAGGGCAGATAGGATAATATTTCCAGAAATTTGAATGCCAGCACAGTAGCTAACCAAATCCATAATGGGTGCAAACTTTTGGGAGGTCATTGCTCTCTCGGTGTATGGACTATGGCAGTGGTTACTTGAAAGGATGACTTGAAAGGTTTTTCTACCTATCTGTTAGGAGGACAGGTCACATTCTGTGTTTCTTCCCCAAAAGCTGTTATAGGACCACTATTACTGAAGAGCACTTAAGTTCTGTCCCCACTATCTGGCCTTGCTTGAAGAAAAAAGATTTCTGTCTTGCTCAGTAGCAAAGGACATCCTTTCAGATACTGAGTGAACTAATTCCTGATTTGTCAGTGCATTTTCTTTCTATGAGCAGTCAACCCCAATAAACTTTCATATCCTTTCTTCAGTTCCATTAATAGAAATGAAATGCTTTTAAGAGGAAGCATATTTTTAAAATGTTAGATATGTCTAGATACTCTAGACTGGATGTACCTCATTTAGGTTTGCTGAGTGAGTCATCTGCTAGTGCAAAAGAAGGGCAAGTTCTGGTTCAAATTTTAACCCTAAAAGTATGACAGCTTGGAAGTCTCTTTGTCCTTTCAAATCTGGGAATTGGCATGGACATCGTTTGGTGCAAGTTTTGGCAAAGGACAGAAAGCACCAGTATGTAAGCATCTCTACAGCTATAGAAGAAACATTTCTATTGGGAAATAGAATGGGTATTTGATTCCATTTTTTTTTCCAATTCCATTAAGAGACTGCTGGACAAGCTCACACAGGGTAGTCCCTTTTAAGAACTTCACTGCTCTGGTTCTCTGTTCCTAACACACAGAGACAGTCAGAGAGGCAGAGATATTATCCTTGACTGAAATAATGTGTGACAATTTTGAGCACTGCAGTGGGCAAGCAATAACACAGAGGATCTTCATCTTTTTCTTCACCTTTTTCTTCACCAAGCAGAAGATAAAGCTCCCTTAGCTACCTTCCTTACTGGGAACTGAGTCTGATGTATTCCAGATCCAGTCAAGTCTTTCTCTTCATCATTCTTCTGGTGAAATATAATTAACTCTGTAAGGACCAAAAAGAAGATCTTGTGAAAAAATCCTGTGCACAGATCTTCAGATGAAATTTCTAGGCTATTTACAGCTATTTCAGTGGAAATTAGCCTCATTAGTATTTTCCTACGTTTAGTTTGTATATATCAAGAAATATCTGTAAGAGATTAAAGTTTAAAAAAATTAATGAGAAACAGTTTCTCTGAGTTTTTGGCTGTGACAAAAGATGTGTAACAATTGAAATAAACTAGCAATAGAAGATACAAAATCTCCTCTTTTTTTTGTTAACGCTTTGTGAAAACAGAATCTTTTTCTGGGATGTAACCTTAGTTAGCCCGACTTAGGTTCAGAACAAATATAACTGCATGAAATTCAGTGGCACGTTTAATGCAAGAGCAGTGGAACTCATTTTATGAAATTTTAGGAATTTGAAAGATGACAAAGCTGGTTGCTATCTCTGTAGACAGTGACAAGACAGACAGGTATCTTCAGAGGATGCATTATCCAGCTAATTTGAAACATCTCTCTGTCTGATCTGGATGGGGAGAAGGGTCAAAGCTGGACCTTGTGCAAACTTGCCAGGCAATGCCAGTGCTGCTGTCCCTTTAGCTTCTTCTTGCTCCTTAATAAATCCTGCTTTCTTTGCCTGCACCTCCCTTCACTCAGTGAACTCAAGGCAGAGATGGATTTTTACACCAGCTTGTGGGCAGGGACAAGGGTGAGCCATCCTGTAGATGCACTGCATGGAAAGACCTTGTGGGAAATACTCCTACCAGATTACTCTACTGGCTTTACATACCCTTGCTATCAAACAAGACTTTTTATGGGCTGTGATTTTACCTTTTCTCTGTAAACATTTCAGTGTCCTTTGAATAGTAATTTGTAAGTCTTATTAAGAATCAGAAAAACTCCACTCAAAGCAACAGAATTTTTTCCTAAGTAGGAAAAGGTAGTTCCCAGAGAATTGTTGCATCATCCCATTTATGTCTAATTAGCTGCCAGAACAATGTGATCCCTATTTCACATGCAAACTTGGAGACAATAAATAGTGTCCTAGGGTCTGGTTGTCTTCCTTCAACTCATCTCAAAACAGATCCCTTTTTCACAGCCCCTTTTAAAATTAACAGTTACACAACCATCCCCATAAAAGACTGTAGAACATAATTATTTTCCTAAAAAGGGTATAATCTGCTCTTAGTAAGTCTGCAACCGTTGTTAACTAGGCTGAAATCTGCAGATTCAAACTGAGGATTAAAATGCAGTTAAAATAATCAGGATGAGATGATTGTGAACCAGGAAGGATTGTCCAAGGGCCAGACTGAACCCACTGTCATGCTTTTGTAAAGAAACTTAGGATAAAAGTCTCTAGAGAAGCATTGTGTTTCATGTAAAAGTTAATGTAAAAGTTTTCCTATGCCAAAGAAATCAGAATAATGGTAACATACAACATTCCTCAACTGTGTTATAATCTAAATGAAGACATGATGATTTGCAGAAGAAATTGTTTGTGCTCATTAAAGCAGAGAACACAGTGTCAGGATGTTGTTTCTTCTCATAGATATGCTAATGCAAACCTGAGAAGGATTTTATTGGAAGTGATTGACTTATGCTAGTATGAAATAATTAATGTTTTTCATCGAAGTTATATGGGCAAATGTGTATTTTGTTGCCACAAAAGACTTGTCATGCATTGAGTGACTCCTTCCTCTTCCACTTAGTTTAACCGACAACAGCTGACCCTTTTGTCTCTTGACAGTTGTAACCTGTAACCTTAAAACCCAAACTCCCATAACAAATAACAGTTAAATGACGTGCAGTGATTAGACATGTTTGAAAAAATAAAGCAGCACAAATTTCCCAACCAGCCAACAAAGATAGACACAGACATTGTGCAAAGGCCAAGAAGAATCACATACTTTTTTGGATTAACTTCAAAGTCTGGCTGTAAATATGAAAAGTCAGTTACTGCCTAGTAACTGACTTTTGGATTCAGATTTGCTGATCAGGCAAATAATAGCCTCATTCATTTAAAACAGAAACAACCTCACATGGTTAAGTTACGTTGTGTTCTGATGGGGCTTCATTATGTCCCCTTTTTTGTAGTCATATTTCTGAGTCATCTAAGGGATACCCAAGGGGACCTGGCCCAATATTCTTTGCATGGATGGGTACTTTTTAGGGTAGGACTTAGAGCTGACTTGTAAAACATCTGTTTTGAAAATGCATTTCTAAGTGATGAATCTGTATCCTCTGTCTGATTTGTAACAACCTTCAGTCTCCAATCTCTTTGGAACTTATAACATTGTGGGATTTGGAACTCAGTGCATTCTTAGCTACTGTTTCATCCTGTACTGAAAATTTCTCATAATGATACAAATCTCCTGGGAGAGCTAAGGGAGGCAGCAATGTACAAAACCACAGAGAGTGTGTAAGGTTCCCAAGAAGTTTGAAGTTTATTGTGTTTTCCTTTTAATGTTGCTGAATATAATTGTAT